CCTCTTGCCTCCCCCCTGACCTTTCCTTCCCTGTCTCTATTCCCTCCTCTCACTCCCACAAGATTGAAATCACACCCTTACTTTGAAGGAACCATATTCGATTACCATTGTAACCACAGCCTCTGTTTGTGTGTATGTATTTGAGTCATAATCAAATAGCAGTAATCTCGTACATCTGAGAGTTGTCACGCTTTCCAGATCTTTTAATCCAGTCAGCCAGATACTGAGTCAAAACAACCAACTTCAGTTGTCCCTATTTGTTATTGTCACACACACCACACACAACCTTGTGACAACCCCAGGGTGCCCTAGTCACCTGCTTCCTTTCATTTCACTGCCTAATCCGTCCTTACAGCTTCCCACCCTCTGTTTCTCACAAAGCTAGAGACCTCAGTTAACCCCCAATGTGTCGAAACTGCAACGTTAGAAAATAATGCAGTAAATGTGAATTTAAATACTTTTCTTAATCACATACAAACTCTGTTGGGTTATGATGTCCACTGCAGCATAAAGGCTTACTGCCTGATGATGTGTTCACACTAGAAGCGACACAGCAACGGCGTGACCAGCTACATTATCGCAGAGTGGCTGTTGAAGTGTTGCTCAAGTGCTCGTTGATGTAGCTACATTGTCATGGGCTTGCATGTGTCTACTACATGTAACAAAGCCACACGAATCATTGCCATCTAAAATTTGTATTTGGTCAAAAATACATCACGCTTTCATCAATGTCTGAGCACCATTGTACCGTCACATTTTAAGGCCCCATTGTTTCCCTGTGTGCACCGCAATACACAGAAAGCTAACACATCATCAGTAATAGGAGCACTGAAAAAAGTTGAGGCCAGCTTAAGTTTGACATGTAGCACGACGAACCAATCACGCAGCAACAAGTACAGGGCATCAGTTTGTAGCTTCACGTCACAGGCTTCCATTGAAAATGACCTCTAGCCTATTGCCATGTCGCTTGTAGTGTGAACACAGCAGTTTATTGATGGTCTAATAAGCTTAATAACACAGTTACCAGCTCCTCTGACAGGTCACTGACACATTATGCATTTTGATCAAGTGTTTTTCAGGGACATTTGGTAGTAAGTTCTGCTTCTTTGGTCTATTGTGCTGTGTCTTAATATTGCCTTGGTATTTTCTTTTCATCTTGATCATCTCTGTGTTGATTTAACCTCCCGAGACCCTGTGTCATCACATTTTGGGTTTACTTGACCTTACACTTCATTCTACTTAACTTAGACCGGTTGTCAGTCTGATCAACCTGATCACATTTAATGGTTGAAACTTGTTTATTTATTATTGATAACGCTTGTAGTTTGATATGGCAACAAATTTGACCAATTTTAGCAACAGTAACAAGATAAGACACTGATAATTCGGAAGTACTCGTTTGAAGACACTGGGACTTTATTACCGTCTCGTTTAAGGACATTGGGACTTAATTATCGTTGACAATGTTAGATTTTTTTTTATGCTTATCAGGTCCTACTGATCCTAAATATCTAGGAGACATTAAAACTGCATACCAAACTAAAGTTAAGGTCTCAGGAGGATAAGGCTCTTGCGTTGTCACCAACTGATTCTCAGTTTGACAAAGTGGTGTTTGGTTGCAGGATAATGATGTACTTCAAAGAAAGAAAAGAAAAAAAAAATTACAAAATTCTATTCATCTTTATTTTCCAGATGTTATTCTAATCTTATTTTTGAGAAATATTGGATCATTTTGATTCTCCAGGTAGTAGTAGTAGTAGTAGTAGTAAAACTGGGCAATAACACACTGTGGTTGTGCAGGTCATAACCCATTAACATATGGAGCCAGTTACAATGGGTCACAAGACATTGCAAAGTTGCACACTTTAAACAGGTCACATGCTGAATAGGTTTGGAATGGGCCTTGGATTGGCGAAGGGAAAGTACGCCTCAATGACCATTTTTACTACGCATATTTTTTTCACATCAATATTTCACACTTTTCCACTTCCTTTTTAATTTTGTATAACTGTGAGGCGGGGCCCTCTGAGAGCTCATCGGTTGCAGGGACTTATTTATGACACCTTGACGTACAATGTTGTTTACACACTTCATGGTTCTTCTCCTTCTGGAACATTCCTGACCTCCAATCAGCCCTGTTAAACTGAAATCTCGCCGTCTCTCTCTCCTTCATCCTCCCTTCTTCTGTCAGGCTTAATAACATTACTTTCTCCATCAGTCCTAACTTTGTTTGGCCCTGGAATCACAGGAGTGTGTGTGTGTGTGTGTGTGTGTGTGTGTGTGTGTGTGTGTGTGTGTGTGTGTGTGTGTGTGTGTGTGTGTGGGAGAGAGAGAGGGATGGGGGGTTGTTGCGCAATGGTGTACTGGGGGGTTTCAGGAGAGAAACTGGCCAAGAAAGTAAAGAAAGAAAGAAAGGAGGAGGGGAAGACGGAGCTGGACGTAGGTGGCCGTTAGCTGGCATGAACAGGTTGAGATAAACTGTCGGTCAGTCTTTCTGTCTCTTGTGACAAACCGTCAGTTAGCCCATTAGTTAACATCCATCAGTCATACAGGTCTCTAGTGTATTTGTCAGTACTTCTAGGTAAGTTACACCTTTATTTGTCAAATCTTTTACTTGTCTGCCTGTCACTTTTTTGGCTCTCTTGTCATGAGTGTTATGAGAGTTTTACGTTCATCTTTATGAGATGAATGGGTGTATTATGTACGATGTAATAAGTTTTGGACTGTGTTAATAACTTGAATGTCTCATTGATTATTCCTCCAGCCTTTTGTGTTTGTGATATCTGCATTCAAGTGGGCTCTGTTCAGCTAGATTTTACACACAACAAGCAAATGCATTTAATTAATTACAGAGAGTTTGTTGACATATTATACGCTGAAGCTTCGTCTATGCAGGCGGATACAGATGGAGAGATTTTCTGGAGCATGTAATTTTATTTTGCTACCTTTTTATTAATTCAGGATTGAGCTTCAGTTGCCCTCTTGTTCAGCTTTGCCTCAGTCTCTATTTTGTTCCTCCATTGTTTGAATGAATGGGCCGGTCATTAAGATGCCTTCTGGTCGGCTGTGTAGCCACACTTCTGAATGGTGTACCTAAAAATCTGACGGGCCTTTAGAGGTTCTGTCTTCTTAGTAAGTGCCAAAAAAAGACCATCTTTACCTCTTATCATGAAGCTCTAACACCCTGCTTTGCATTTAGCTACATAATGCTAACATCATATGTTCTCTTATAGCTGTTTTCTTTTCTGTTTGCATTTCCAGTGTTGCCTTTTCTAATATTTCCCCTCAGAAGTGCCTTTTCTTAGTGCCAAACTCCAGAATGGGTCCCTGCTGATGCCTTGTTATTAGTGTTATCCATCAGCGTGGGCTCTAGTGTTCTTAATTGGCCCTGAATAGCTGTGATTCATTATGTATTCCTGAGAGGATATCTGGGTTTATGCGGGAATTAACCCTCGGCAGTCTCACTCACTTGCAGGACCTCTGTCTGTCCAGTGTTCAGCCTTCATTCAGCATTGTTACGGCAAACTGCTCTATTTGCATGGCTCATCAATTTGAAGTACAGAATGGGTATTTCACAGACACAGTTCTGTTTAATTTGATTAGGACCAGTTAATCCTGCAGTAAGTAATAGGAACTTGGCAGTTAAAGCTGGAGTAGGCAGTTTTCTGGAAAAGGCATAAGAAGAATTTGAAAATACACCCTCCTCCTGTAGCTCTCCCCAATCTGTCCTAAGCCCCTCCCACCAGAGACGAGTCAGTGAGAATTACCGTCCTGTTTTCTTTGCAGATTTGAAAAGCCCTTCAAGATTTCACAGTGTGATACTAGCTAGCAACATAAACATAAACTGGAATTAGTTGCAACTGTGAGCCTTTTGTTTCAGTTAGCATAAGGCTAAATTATTAAAAACATTTTCTCTCCATCTCTGAAACGCTATATCATATTTCGTTGCAGACTTTTTTTGATAAGTCCATCTTCCTTTTTGGTGTTGAAGGGATGTGCACTTGCATCGGCATTTGTAGAACAGCCAATAGGAACGCCCTCTCTCTGACATGATCTGTGATTGGCCAAAGTTTCCCATCATGGCCTCGATTTTCTTAAGCCTGAAAATGGAGCAAAGAGGAGGTGCAGAAGTCTAGTTTTCTCTGAATGCACCTGAATGACAATACGCTCAACGTTTTTATGGAATTTTTGCTCAGTGTTACCAAAAACACTGCCTTTCCTAATTGGAAGTTTTTTGACGCTTTCCAATTTGTTCATATTTCAGACTATTAAATTTATTTGTCCTGTTTTCTATTGTCTTATTTTGAAGAATAATTGTATTGTGCGTGATATACAGAGCCAAAACAAAAACAGCAAGCAAACATAGACCTGTTTCCTGGAATAAAATGCAGTGTGTACTGACAGATGGCAGCCTATGGTAAATTTTACCCATACATAAGTTGGCAGTGGTTCCCAACTGGTCCAGCAATGGGGTCCAGATTTCTCCTTAGCCATTTGTTCAAGGTCCACACAGTTTAATGCATTCAGCATCATACTTGCGTTTTGCCATGTTGTTGAGCTAGTTTGCCGTCTCTGTCAAGTAGCTGTCAGTAAGTCACTCACCCTACAGCAGGAAACTGAACTTTAAAGTAAAAGTTCTGTGCTGGAAATTTACAGTACTCTAAAATAAAGTGTTTTGTTAACAAACTTGACATGTTCCTTAGTCGCTTGCGGTCCATTCAGAATGGACCTGTGACTCACTTTTGGACCACAACCCACCAGTTGGGACCCATTGCATTAGTGAGAAAAAACATAAATGCTTTGTCCAACTCCAGCAAGTCTGTATGCTTTTTAGTGTGTGTGTGTGTGTGTGTGTGTGCACGTGTGTGTGTGTGTGTGTGTGTGTGTGTGTGTGTGTGTGTCTGTGAGTGTGTGTGAGAGAGAGATTGTGTGTGTTACCGACTCCTCATCTTTCTCTAAAATTTCCCTTGTCTTCACTGCTCTTCTTTTTGTGTGTGCAGGGAGTGAAGCCTGGCAGTTTCGATAAGGTGGCCATTCCTGAGGTGAAGGAAATTATAGAGGGCTGCATCAGAACAAACAAGGATGAGAGGTGAGACACACACACACACACACACACACACACACTCACAGATCAAAGCCAGACACGGCATTGTTGATATTTAGTATTATCTTTGGATTTATAGATGCTATATGGACGCCGGCACGCCGCCATGACTTTGGCAAGATTTCCATTCAGTTTCTAACTTTATTTAAAAATAAAAGATTACAGTAACAACACCGCTACACCCAGTAATGTTTGATAACAAAATCACCCTTTTCTCTAAATCCTGTTCTGATTCACAGCTGCTTGGTCAGAAATAAAAACTCTTCTGTTGGCTCTCTGCTCATGCTGTGGGTCTGCCAAATCATCCACCGTACCCTCCAGTCTGCTGCTTTAGAAACTCAACTAAACCAAACTTTCCCCCTCCCTCTCTTTCACTCTTTGTTTTTCTTCACAGTCCAAAAACTGGTCTCTTGGTGAAGAATAGTCACATGATTGGCGGTCTGTCATCCAACTTGTTTTTTTGACACAGTGTGAAATATATGTGGAACACTGTCCCTGGACTAAATGTCCCAACAGATAAATTGAACACTGTGTCTGAACCATTAGATTATCAGCTGGAGACCAGCTCACAAGGCATCGCCAGTCTTATATATATCTAATTTTTGTTCTTCTTGTTCCTCTAGGTATGCTATAAAGATACTGCTGAACCATGCGTTCTTCCAGGAGGACACGGGGGTCAGGGTTGAACTGGCAGAAGAGGATGATGGGGAAATGATCGCCATCAAACTGTGGCTCAGGATAGAAGACGTCAAGAAGCTCAAAGGTATATAAAGGAATATTTTTCATCTAATTACGATCTTTTTTATGTAGAAGAAATTGTAATAGGAATATTTTTGTAGTTCCCAAAGTCTTAGCCCTATAGACGTATACATTTAACCTATTTGTCACGATTCAGCACTTATATTGGTAAACAACCAAAAGATTTTGATAACTCCCAAGAAAACAGAGGGACAGCTGATTGACCAACCATTTGTATTTTGTTTGTAGGCAAATACAAAGACAACGAAGCCATCGAGTTCTCTTTTGACCTGAACAAGGACGTCCCTGAAGATGTGGCCCAGGAAATGGTACGTACAGTGCTGATGAATGGATGGACAGATGGTGGTGCGAGTAGCGGGAGAACGTGACGGATTTAGGCAAGAAAAGAAAAGACAGAAGGGAGAGAACTATGTAGTCAAAGAGATGAAAACGGGAGGGTTTGATGTGTGAAATGAAAAATCGAAGGGTTGTAAGTGTGTGACTTCACCTAACTCCACAGGTTGAGTCTGGCTACGTTGCCGAGGCTGACCACAAGACCATGGCCAAGGCTATCAAGGACCGCGTGTCTCTGATCCGAAGAAAGCGAGAACAGAGGCAGCTGGTACGAGAGGAACAGGAGAAGAGAAAACTGGAGATTGAACAACAACAGCTGCAGCAACAGCAACAGCAACAACAACAACAACAACAGCAGCAGCAGCAGCAGCAGCAACAGGAGACACACAAATCTTCACACACACAGGTTTGTGAAACCGTAAGCTAGCTTGCATCGTTTAATGTCTGTAAGATCAAACAGTTCACATGGTCGTTTTTCCTGTCGTAGAATTGAGTATTTGAATGAAGACCACATGGACTTGACTCTTGCTTGTGTTTGTTTGTGTGCAGGTAGAAGCAGAGGAGACGGAGGTGGAGCAGCAGCAGCTTCACTATCAGCAGACTGGCATCTCACACACATGTAAGACAAACTAGAAATAGCACGTAGAGCTGATGTCATTACATTCTACACTGATCTTAGACTATTTCTTGTTCTTTCTTTAAATGAAGCCTTTGTAATGTGTGATTTAAGATTACTGTGAGACCAATGGTCGCAACTTTGTTCCAGCATATCAGTCTCCAAAAATATGTGACAAACGACTGTGTACATCTAACAGAATATTCACCATGAGCCAAGAGGTTTATTCCGGTATCATATTGTCGAAGACTACGTCAATATGCACAAAATATTCCGTTTTTTGATTTAATTCCGACAAAACAATAATCCTACTAAGCTACTGACATGGCTAATGAAAGTTAATATTCCACTAATATTCCCGTGTACATGCAGTTCATTAACAAATGAAATTAAGAGTATGGGAAAGTGGAATGTCTGGAGCTGCTTGTTTGGGGTCATATCAGTCTCATAATGAATGAACTCATTCATTATGAATGAATGAATTCGCAGTTGTATTTCGGACTCACTAATGCACACGATCTGTTTCGCAAATGCACATGCTCTGGTTCACAAATAAAATTTTTATGCAAACTTGTAATATAAATTCGGAATGCACACGCTCTGCTTCACAAATATTATTTTGAGGCACACTTGTAATATAAATTCACAGATCATGCGAATCGCTGAATATGCATTTACAAACTACTTTTCATTTGTGAACCTCTACATTTGTGAGAGAAATCTGTGTGGTGAATTTTGAGACTCCCCTGACGTCGCAGGTCAACGAACGTCACCATTGGCTGATAAATCTGTCAATCAAATTTATGATTCTGATTGAATCATAAAATTTGGGCTTTTTCTTCTGGGCAAGTGTCCCTACCCTAAACCCTGCAAACTGTTGGTTTGTTGGTCTGTGTACAGCACATGGAGCTCACAGACAAGATGTCATGTGTTGCAAACCGTGGTAAAAAACCCTAACTGAGATGCATATTCTAAATGCCCACTATATATGTCCAAAGAATGCTCCCAAAACCCAAATAATATTGGCATATCCCATGTCTTAATCGAAATAAAATGCTTCCTTTGGAATAAGGCCTAATTCAGAATATCCAAGTGTAACATGCTGATTCCATGACCCGTATCAAATTAGGAATATTGTCATACTTGGAATAATGGTGGAATGTTACTGTGCATGTAAACGTAGTCAATCCGTGCTTCTCAAAGGCAAGGATGCTTCCTTGGCAGGGCAGGTTCTTCCGCCTGAACTGTAGGCGGGGCCTCTTCAGTGACGCACACCTGGGCACTCGCTAGCCTGTTCCAATGTGTGTTCACTGAATGCTAGTAAGGAGTCTTGCCTAGCCTCTATAGAATTATATTTCTATAGAGGCTAGGCAAGACTCCTTATAGAATTATATTTCTATAGAGGCTAGGCAAGACTCCTTACTAGCATTCAGTGAACACACATTGGAACAGGCTAGCGAGTGCCCAGGTGTGCGTCACTGAAGAGGCCTCACCTCCGGTTCAGGCAAATCCTGGGAAAAGAATTGTGGGTTCCTTATACCTGCTTTGGATACACACATAAAAATTGAAAATTCTCAGGACGAAGGACTCAGTTCTTGGTAGAATTCGAAGGATCCTTGACACTGGAACAGTCTTTCGACAGGATGATGTAGCCTCCTTGAAATTCAGGAGGTTAAGGATCCTTCCTTGACTTTGAGAAGCACTTAGTGTCTTGCTGTAAATCAGGGGCAGCCATTGTTGAGTTACAAGTGTGGCACACAATTAACTGTCATCCTATTGCCATCTGAAAATGCACTGGAACTGACTGTTAATTCTTCCTCCCTTTAATTGTATGCCACTAAAGTTCTTACAATGCGTTTTTACAAACCAGTAGAAAATTTGAATGTAAAATTCCTACAGAGATATACAGATCATTCTCACGTCGAAGTACATTTTTAGAAATCATAACATGATTGTGAGCCAATGTCCAAGTTATTACTTTAAGATGGAGTTTATTAGACTGATATGTAGACACAGGACTGAAGGTGACCCTCCTGATGTCTTAACACATCTCTTTCTGTCTCTCTCAGCTGAAGGAGGTCTGGACAGCGGCCAAGGTTCCTCCGTTTTCTCCTCAGACTCCCCCCCCCCGGGTCAGCTGACCATGTCGTACAGCTGCCCCCCCTCCTCCCACCCCCCTTCCCAGCCCCAAACCCCCTACCCCTCCACCCCCTCTGCTAACCCACAGCAGCACCCAGGCTATGCCCAGCCGCCGCAGCAAATGGTGAGTTGTGATGCTCGGCATTACGTACGTGTAGGTTTGATTAGCACTGATGAGGTCATGTTCAACACATCTGTGAGCAGCCTTACGCTCGCAGGTGTGCTGACCACGACTGGTCAGTTTGAAGTGAGCATTGCAGTGTGTTTTGGAGTGGGAGTGAGTAGGAATGAAGTTTGCAGTGTTGCTGAGTAGGATGGGAATGGCGGGTGTTTGTTGAACTATGCACAAGAGCATGTTGTGATGGGTTTTTATGTGAAGCTGATCCCCTCTGACCTGAAGAAGAGGAGTACTAGAAGGTATTTGATTTCTTTCCTGCCTACTGAGGCTTTAACTTGCAGTATTATACAGAGATAAAGCAACACAATCAGTCAGCCAATATTAAAGACACTAAAGGAAGCTCAGCCATCCAAGCAGTCAGTTTATTCTCAGCTAGTCAGTCCAGCAGACCAGTAACCCAGGTAGTCAGTCAACCACTTACTCTCACATTATGCTAGCTAACCTTTCATTTTCTGATGTATTTCATCTTAGAAGACTGGAAGTCACTTTATCCTCAGCTACTACATGTCATGCATCTCTCCGTCCTTCGATTCTCTCAGCTGTTTACCTCGTTCTTTCTCCTTCTCTCAATCCTCCTTGTTCTTCATGTTAAAAGCCATATTTTTTTTAAATGCCCCCACATCTATACATCAACTTCTTACATTTGTCATTCACTCACTTACTATTTTTTTGTTATAGTTGTTATGTTGTATATTGCTTTGTTTTTGTATTTTTAAATTTCTTTTACACATTGATAATCGGGCATATTTGCTTGGAAGCACATCAGCCTTCATGTTTTTTTGCTCTGCTCATGCAGAAGCATTATATTCCAGCCCAGTTGTAATAAGACAGTGTTGGCACTATACATTTCTGCAAGCCACAGATACACTACCTTTGTATGTTTCATATGTATCATATCAACATTTCTGAAGTGATGAGGTATATGAGCTGATTTTGTCATCAGGAGACTGAGGGGCTCGCGGATGGCGTTTCACCTTGGTGAGATGCGTGCCAAGCTGCAACAAAACCAGTTGTTTTTTAGCGATTCATCACAGCGTTTCCAGCGGCTTTTCTGCTACCAAACGTGGTTGTTTTTTAGTGACCTGTCATCACATTTCCAGCTGTGATTGTGCCACAAAAACTGGCCAAGACATGATATTTTCCTGACCATAAACAAGTTGTTTTTGTGGCTAAACCTTAACATATGTTAACCACATAAAGAAATGTAAAGAAAGGCTAAGTTTCAAAGTATCTGCTATATGATAATGTGCAAATGTGACATATCCTAAAACTCCCTTTTACTAGCCTGGTGTGGCTACAAATTTTAACAAATAAAGGCCTGTCTCAACCAGATGCCTGGTCTGGTTGCCAAGCAGTTTACCTCTTTCATAGAAGTTCTTCAAATGTATAAAATCAGGTTGTTGGTTATGTCAAATTATGTGTCCATTCCGTAACTCGCTGTCTGTCGGAGCTAAATTCGATGAATGATTCCTAATTGATATATTATCTGAATCTGAATTTGCCTGTTGATTTCAGTGATTTAAGCAAACAATAGCCCGGGCTATTAATTGAAGTTATACGGTATCCGTGGTTTGCAGAAACGTGCATTGGCAGCATTTATTATTATGGTGTTTGGGTTCATATTCAGGGAAGAACAACAAACAAGTGGTCTTCAGAGAGAGAGATTATTCACCTCAGATATGACATAAAACTTTTTCTGAAACTCTTTATAATCTTTATAATGAAATATAATAATAATTGGAGTTATGCCACTTTTGTTTATTTGCTTGTCTGTTCACTCCTATTTAATACTGATATATATCTTCATGATGTTGACTGAGCACGGTTTCCACTCCTCTCCTGTGACCCAGGATTTTTGTATCTTAGCTCTCTTAACTCAGCTGCTTGTTGACCTTTCAGCAGCAGATGAGTCTTAATTCCTTGCTCAAGAGCACCTTTATACGTACCTATGAATTTCTTATTTAATTTCCCACTTAAGGCATTTCCATCTGGTGACCTTTTGGGTACATGATCCAGTTTAGCAGCACCTACACGACACTGACTGATACTGTTCAGCTGGATGATACTTCAGTCTGTACTGTAGGCTGATTGACTGAATAATTTAATGATGGTTTGGGCTTATTTTTAGGACATTTCTCAAAAGGCTTATTTCTTAATCCGATGTTGTTCTGTGCAGACAAATTGACTCACAGACAGACTGGTTTATCACATTAAATAATTACGATTATCTTAAATAACCATTGTCTCCTTTTATGTAACATCGTGTAAATATGTTTATTTATTTTGTTTTAAAATGATTTTTTCAGTTTCTTGTGTCATTTTTCTGTTTTAGTGTGTGTTTCATTTGGTTTTACTGCATTTGTTCATAAGTTATTGTACATTTCTTTGTGATATTTGTGTTTTTCTTTGTTATCAGTAAGGTTTCACTCGAAATTTGTTGATGGAAAACCTGAAGTGTTACTCCCTGATGCAGTGATCTGTCCCACACAGAAATAGTTTCTCTCTTTAATTAATCTTATTATAATTTAGGAGCTGTTACTTTGCTTTTTTATGCATTAAGTTGTAGTTATGGATTTTATTTTCTAAATTGAAATGTTAAACTGTCACGTAGCATCACCTCTTTCATCATATGATTGATTTTCTCAATGTGTTCTTCACTTAACCTCCAAGTTTTCAAACGTGTCTCTTTAGTTTGTGTTTTTAAATGATTTTATTGCTGTTTTCTGTGTTTCGATCATTATTTGTGTTAATTTCTTTGTGTTTGTTTCCCATGTCGTTCCCACCCTCTTCTATCCTCCCTCCCCGGCCCACAGCCTGCGTTGCGCCGTCGTCGCAGTCGTAGCATGTCTGTTTGCGTCCCCCCCTCCTCCTACTCTTTTTCCCATGCTCTTCTGCCCCTGGCCATTCCGCCAAAGCAGCCCTCCACCCCTCCTCCAGACCTGTCCTCCTCATCCTCCTACACCACCGCCACCACCTCCCCCTGCATGCCTCTCGCTGCCGAGAGGGACACATTCGCTGGGCGCCTCTCCAAGGCCCTGGAGACTGTCCTACCCCTTCACTCTGCCTCCTCTCTGCCCAGAGCCAGGCAGCGGAGGGCCAGCCTACCTGCCCTGTTCTCCACCCCTGTAGGTTCACAAAGCTTCATCCCCAAGAGCCACAGTGGTGGTGCAAACCAGAGAGGAAGCAGAGAGAGGAAGATGAGGGATGTGGGCCACACTGGTGTCTGAAAGTAGATAAAACATCTGTTACAGTGTCATTGTATACAGAAACCCACAATAAAGTGTATTTGTTTCTCACTGCTGGATGACACAGTGAATGAAAGGGCTGCTAATGACTCAGCTTGTATTACTCATACAGGTCTGTGTCACAGCTTTGTACAACAAGCCAAATGAGGAATGCATAAACACCCAAATGGAATCACAAAATTGAATTTATTTGCTAAGTTCATTAAAAATGCACCATCAGATGTGCATCTTGACCTAGTTCAGTACCACTGCAGCCATCCCAGGTTTATACTGCGTGAGCTAAGCCAGTACTGTACGATGGCAAACGTCATTCGTGCAGTATTAAATCAGTAGAAAAATGCTACATCTGTATTCTTAATTTAAGGCATTTCAAGTGGTACTATTTCTAAAGTAGATTAGTATGACCCAAAGTCAAACTTTGTTTACTTTCAGACACTGCTGTGTGTCAGTCATTGTACCCATCCACCTCTCTGTAACTCTCTCTATCTCCCTCTGATAGACCACTATGTGTTCATTTTGAATACAGTGACTGGCTTTATTTTCAACTTTGCTCTATGATACAACTATCTAATATCATGTGCATCTGCCATCAGGAAAATTGAATGACTTTAAGGGGTGGTAGATCGATATATATGTGACAACATTTTCCTTTTGCTTGAGAGTTACAGAAGCTACACAGGCCTTCTCATTTAAGACTAAGTGTCCTGCCTAGAGAAAAAGTGCTACACCCACCATCTTTTTTTAAGAGCTCTCCAACTATTTTGTAGGGCTGCCCCTGACTAAGAATTTTTCTAGTCTACCAATAGTCGTCATTTAGGGCCATTAGTTGACTAGTCGCCCGCATGTTTGTGATATTAATTTAAGTATTAAATGATATATTTTGGGCGGGGCAACACAACGGTTTGAGTTGAAGGTGTGAGAAAGAATAGTATTAGTAACATTGTTAACACTGTGCTACATTACAGAGAAATACAAAAGCGTACTAATGAACCTTCATTAATATAGGCCTATATTTTATCTACAAGTGCACGTCACACACTGAGCGAGCCGCCTGTTAATGACGCTGTGGGCTAATGGGCATGTAGCTACTGACATGTTTCAGATGATACGTCATGTTTGTAGTCAACCAATGAAGATGAGTTTACATATCACCTTGGGTTCGTCCTTCACCTTCTCAAAATGATCCCACACTTTGGATTTCCTGCCCGACATGTTATTAACTAGCCTGTGGAATAACCGCAGGTACCAGCCCTGGAAATTAATGCTGAGTGTGGCATCTTCCAGCCATATAGGTTTTGATTTATTTTGACAGGGCGCAGCTCCCAAAAGAGTTTCATGTTTGGTCTTTTTTCAGTGACGAAGTGACCAATGAAATCTTGCCAACTAATGTCCTTTCTGGTCGACTGTTAGGGGGAAGCCCTAGTTACTGCTAATGTAAACTGAACATGTACAACTGCTACAGCCTCCCATTAAAAGTATTTAACTGGCAAAACACCACTTGATTTTTACTATGAAATAGTCACAGGAAATGCAATGTGTGTTCCAGTGCGCTTAGCACTTCCCACTCTCATTCATCAAAAATACATCTACAAAACAACACAACAGTCATTTTCAGCATTTATTTTTCTGTGACTAAGCAACCAATGAAATCTTGCCGACTAATGACCTTTCTATTCGACTAACGTTCGGTCGGCTATTCAGGCACAGCCTTGCTATTTTTTGCGGCCACTTCGATTTGCTACTAGCTGAAAATCTCTGAACCTTTCAGACAGGGACTGATCTCCCCAATGCTCTGCCAGCATCTTCCTGCTAGAAAAAAATGCTACATGGACACTCGAGGCACTTTTGGGCATTTTGTTAGGCAGCTAACAGTAGAGAGATGACAGGAAATAAGGGGTAAGAGATAGAGCTGGCTAATGACATGCAACTGAAGTTGTTGCTGATGGTCAACGCCTTAACTCCCAGGCCACCAGGATGCATCCTTTTTAGTCTTTTTTCTTTACAAGTGCTGAACAGTAAGCCTGTCTACATTGTCAGATTGCAACTACTTAATGAAAAGATCAACATTCAGCAGAGAGAATCTCTGTGACAAAATATAGTTTTCCTGAGTGCAGTTGTGTCAAGATATTACTAAGCTTAGAGCCAGCATTTGGCCTTTCCTCTCTTTGTATTATATTCTATACTACCCCACTGTGTATCAACCTGCTCTCACGGTGTCTCCCACTGCTACTGTCTTGTCTTTAGGTTGTCTGCCTGTCTTCGTGCTGTACCGGTCTGTCACTTGGCTGTCTGCCTGATTTACTGCAGCTTTGTGTCTCTACTTTACGTGTTCACTTCATCTCATCACTCCTTTTTACAGCTGTTTGGTTTATTCTGTCCTATTCTAACAACATTACTGTGTTTCTAGTGTGGGGAGAGAATATATGTCCCTTTTTTCTCGTTATTGTTTTGAATTGATTCTCTTTAATGCACTGTTTTCTCCATTTCATGTGGGCCTTTGCTGTGGTTCTCTCTGAGTCTCATTCTTAAATCCATTGTATCTCATTATCGCAGCAGCATTCAATGCAGCACTCGTACAGTGCAGGAGGAAGTGCAGGAGGAGCAGGAGCAGGAGCAGGAGCAGGAGGGAGCATCCCCCTCCAAACTCTCCCAGACCCCCCTACTATTTTCTTTCCCTCCATCCCCGAGCGCCCCATTTCCTTCTCACCTCCTCCCACTGGGCCTCCTAAAGCCTACAACACCCAAAGACGCAAGAGCACGTCCATTCTGGAGGCACACACCCGACACTTCCAGCCTGCCTACCCTCGTTATGGGAGCAGCCTGCATCCCTTCTCTGGAATGGAGGGTGGTGAGCCCCCCTCTCTCCTCATGGTCAATCCTGGTTTTGCAGCAGCTGCTCAAAGACTTGGTGTGGGGGAGCCGCTGCATCTCCAAGGACAATCCGACCCAAGTTTGTACGGCTATAAAGACATGAGAGCCGAGCATGAGGAAGCAGTGAGGAGATTAAGTCTAAATCAAGCTGCCTTATTGGACCATTATGAAGCAATGGCGTATGGAGGATACCCAATGACTGCACACCAGCTTGGCCACTTGAGTTTCCATCAGCAGAGGCAAGCAGCAGCTGCAGCTGCCGGTTTGGGTTATGAGCCCGTCCCTCCACCTCAGCCAGGGTTCCTGCACTCACACTTAATGCAAAGAATGAGTGCACACAGCCCAATCCCTCCCATGAGTGCGCCCACTGGTGGCTCCTCGTCATCATCTGACGGCTGCTATCCTCCGCCACAGCACGCCTCCTCTTCTGCTTTCTCTATTTCAGCTCCTGCAGTAATGGCTGAAGCCCCACCACAAACTGGAAGTGTCTTTGAGTTCCATTTAGCTGCAGCCGCTGCCGCTGCAGCTGCTGCTGGAGACCCAAACCTCCTGGCATCCAGACTTTACCGGGCCAGACGGAGCTCCATGGACCTCCCTCTGGAGGACAACACCGGAACTGGATCAGGTGGTTCAGGCACGTACAGCCGTCTCCAGCCGGTGACAGAAGAGTTGTACGCATATGTCAGTCCTGAGCTCCCCTTACCTCCAGGAAGTCTTCTTCTTCACCACATAAGTGCGGCCACTAAAGACAGAAGCCCAGAACCATCCAGTGACTCTATGGCGTCCTCTGACGCCGGAGAGTTCCAGTCACCTCCTCCCCCACCTCTCTCTGCTCCCTTTGACTCCTCAGCCGCTCAATCCATCCCTCACTCGTCCTCCACTGCGCTCTACGACTCACCTGGAGCAGCGTTCCCCATAGATCCCCAGGGACACCCACCCTCCATGCAGGGCTTCCTCCCTGCCACTCCATCCACTGAGCTTGGGGGAGCACCACCGACCCAGCTGGAGTCTCTGATCCAGGGTGCCTGGGCTCGGCATGGAGGGGTGGTACCAGCACAGCCGGATATGACATACCATGAGTCATTGCTGGCTATGCAGGCTGCTAACCCCGCTCTGGTACTGAGTTTAGACCTTAAAAGCACCCCGACACCTCTGGGTCAATTACTAGTTGAAATTAGTTGCTTTTTAGCAATCAGCTGTCGATTATGGCTTATTTTTCTTTATTGTTTGACTACAAATTGTCAGCATCTGAAAGGTTGAGAACTTACATTGCCTTTGACCTTTTTTTTCACAATCTTGTGCCTATAAGGTCATTTGCCAGTTTGCAATTGTAAAACATCAAACTTATTGATTAGAGTAGGTAGATAGAAAATGGTTTTACCCATCAGGTAAAGTGAACCCCTCCATGAAAAGCAGCTGCATTAATTCATACTAGTAATTTGACCCAGAGGTAATTATACCAATCCCTGTTGTTTTTTTACCCTACCGACCCAGGAGCCCCAGCTGATGCTTACTTATAGTCTTTGGTTGTGATTTTAATCCTCTCCAGTCATATCGACACTACAGAGAGAGTCTCATGGTCTGCCTTCAAAATGTCTAACATTATTCATTCATCGATTAGAGAGGAAAAATTTGTTGGTCAAGAGCGCAGCTTCAGGGGCTGAGTCCACCAAAGCATTGTTACCCAAGGCCAGCATATTTTTTTAATTCTTTGGGAATGAGAGCACTACATATTTTACGCTACGATGCAGACACCAGCAGCATGATAAAGCGCTAAGCGTGTGTTCTGTGCTGCATGTTTAGCTTCTAGTTTCTGAGCTCCAAAAGTTGAAAATTGTTCATCTTTGGGTAAAACACTGTGTTTTTCAGTGTCACTTTTTACTTACCCATCCATCATGGTGGTGGAAGAACAAATACCAGAGACCAACCATCACATCTTACATGCACAAGTGCTGAACAACAACAATGGAGGAGAAATATGTTAATATACTGTATATACTGTATATTAATATGTTTCCTGTCGTGAACCCACACAGACCAGTGGGTCCATCTTCTCTCCCTATGTGCTTCAGCCTTCCCCTCATCCAGAGCTAGTACTCTTAATTATTATTTCTGCGTATATTCCATATCATAGCAACCACACGCAACCAAACCAAAGCATTACACGTGAAAAAAACACTGTGCTCTTGAACGCTTCCAGCTGGGCGTTTCCTTGGAAACACCTGGCGTTTTGAGCTGGGAAAATGGCTTTGGTGGACACGGGGCCTAACTCAGCACGACCTCAGTAAAAATGTATAGATGAGGGCACGACCCAGAGCTACATCTGGAAACAGGCAAGACCAGAAACATTTGATTTGAAGTCCCAACATAAAACTCAGTATCGTGAGTTGAGAATAATTCTTTTAAAAGCAACATTAGGAAGGAAGTCTTTGAGACAAACTCTGGTGTACCAGCTTTATATGCAGTCTAAGCCCCCTCCTGTCTGTTTTTATGTTGTGTATTTCATTTATTTTGTCAGTATCAGTAAGTAAAATTTTGTCTGTATGTTCATATATGAATGTATATGAGAAATGTGTGTTTGTGGGGGTATACTGTATGTATGGTATACTCACATCTTTGCTCGTACAAATCCAAAGTCCGTTTGGTCCTAGGACGACATTTACTACCTTGAATGGTAATCATGTCTGTAAAACTTTAAATTGTTAGTCATATATTCTATACACCTGCACATTGAATATTATGGTAGGAATCCAAGAAAATCAAAGTATGATAAAGCTGTGAGACTTTGTTGATTTGTATGGACAAACACACAGAAACATACAACAAAACCGATGGGGGCTTAGACAAATCTCACAATGTAACCTCACAGATAGACATTTTATTTGTATATTTTAGATTCCTTCTGTTGTTTTGTGTTGTACTTCCTAAAGATCCTGGCTCTCAGTCGGGTCTTTATTATAGCATATTGTGTTGTCATTTCCTGCCCAGACTGAAAATCAACTTCCTCCACAAGGATCAAAAGTCACACTTCAGATTCATTAAACCCTTTGAACACTGATGTTATCAGTGTCACCTCTTTCTTTGTTTACATTAAACCACTTACGATCACTGGCCTTTCTTTCTCACATTTTCTGTCTTCTGTTTTTTTTTTTTTTTCATGTCATTTATCTTAAGTTTACTATCTTTCTGTTCAGTTTACTTCAGTTTGCTTATTGGATCTCAGTGCTGTGAAATTCTTTATTGTCTTTATGTGACTGCTTATGATGTTAGGAGAAGGTAGGACGCAGCGTGTCTGGTGCAACATACTTGTGTAAGCTCCCACCACACTTTGTGAGGGTTGGCTTCATGACAAGTAGGAAGTTGCAAACAGCCATCTAAGGGTTGTGATGTCTGTGTGCTGCTGTTCTGCAGTGCTGTAGATTATTCAAAAGATTCAGGAAGGAAAAGTACAGCTTTGTTTGGCTTGCTGCTCAATGCACCAGTGTCAGGAATCAAAAATACCAACGTTTGACGTGACTGGAAATAAAAGGAAACCCTCAACATTTCAGACCACTCAAACTTTCTTTAGGGGCTTTTAAAAGTTTTTGTCAGAGTTTTTTTTCCTAATTAGAGCACAACAAAGGCAGAATTTAGGACACTTCATACAGTGTCAGGATGATATGTCAAAAACCGAAACGTACTTAGAAAATGTATTCTCTAATGATTGTCAAAACTTTCCGAATGTGATCAGGTAATGTGTCAGATAAGCTCAGGAATATTTGCAGTTTCAGGGTGCTTTCAAACCTGTCCTGTATGGTTCAGTTCAATCCACCTCAAGTTCGTTTGCCCCCTAAGTGCGGTTTATTTGGGCAGGTATGAACACAGCAATCACAATCAGCTGCACACGAAAACAATCAGACCAAGACCTTCATGAAGAGGTGGTCTCGGTCTGGTTACAACTGAACTCTGGTGCGGTTCGTTTGTGGTGAGAATGTGGATCTGAACCAACCGCGGTCACATGACACATTGTTTGGGTTAAACATGAGCATGTTACAGTCCTGGAGGATTATTAATGTGCACCTCCTCCTGTACTGCCTTAATATGCACATTCAGCACATCCAATGTATCAAAACATTGTTTTCTAGTTGGAGCCGTGCCTCGTTTTCAAACTGTATGGTTTGACTAAAATGAACAATGACAGCAATATAGTCCACGATGAGCAGCGCTAAAATCAACCTGCGTAGTTGTCCCTCCATTGTAACATTGGCACAAGTGTCACATTTATCTTGCAAGTGCACTCAACGTTTGTTTTCTTCCTGCATTTTTCCCACATGGAAATTCTGACCAATCAAGAGCAGCCTTCTTGCGCAGGCATTTGATCTGGTCTGCTTGTAAATGCTGCTGTGAGAACATGAACCAACTCTGGGCAATTATACAGCTTTATAACAAAATGAGTCCCTGATTCGGACCAAAGCAACCGAACTCTTGGTCTGAAAGCACCCTTAAGCTTTTGGTTTTACTACCTAATTATCATTAGGAACAGGTAGAGTTGGCCACCGCAATAATGACAAGGGGTGTACACACCAGTTTAGGAGTCATGCTTCGGTACGAGTTCAGTACACATGGAAAAAAATATGCATAAAAAGATATTTCATTTCATTTGTTTTGAACAGACAGTAATGCAAGCGTCAAAGACGGACAACATCCTCCTGAAGGGAACTGAAGTGAATTTTGCCCACTGACCTACAACTTTGGAAAGTGAAAATACAAAATGCGAAGAATAATTAAAAACAAACTTGTGCATCCAGACATTTATCATCCAAGTGATTAGCACCTCTGGGTGATGCCATTGAATATGGGTTTGCATGTTGGTTGTGTTTCCACTCATAGACCCTAAAACAGTGGCGCAACGCCAACACACTATCTTCATCTTATACACAACTCTCTCTCAGTTGGTGTTGTACTGGACTTGGAACCTGCAGGCAGGTCTTCCAACTGCAGTGTTGTATTTGCACTCGCCTTAGGGTGACTGATTTCACTCCAATCCACCTTTGTCCACTTGTTGGTACGTCAGCATATGTAGTTAATGGCGTATGGCTATCCATGACAGTTTGGTACAAATATACAAGCCATCACAGCCCTAATAATGAGTCATATTATGTCCTACATCAGCCCTAATAAAATAGATCAAAGATGATGCCTGTGTTCAGATATTTTAGGAAAAAACAGCAGTGTTGTGAGTTGTTTTAAGTGTTTGGTGTCAGTACTCCAGCTTCTACTTTGTGCTTCATTGACTTATTATCACTACCAATCACTTAGGGTCTGACCTGCATGTAAAAAAAATCCCTGTACTTACACCCTGCCTAACCCCAGTACTGTGCCTGTGCTATGTTACACTACAAACTGTGTATATGCGTACAGTTATTGGTGTGCATATATCTGTTGCCATTTAGATGGATGTACACGTGTTGTCCGTGTGCATGTGTGTATACACAAGAAGATTTAGACTAAAACTGACCTCTAGAGAACAGCAGAAGTACCTTGTGTTTGCACTCATGTACGTTCTGGTTCCCGAGCTACAAACACGTTCTGACTATTTCTTGTTTTTCTCTCTTCTTGTTACCAATCTTTCTTGATTTCCCATCCCTGTCCTCCACCCTTTCATGTCCTACAACTTCCTTTCTGTCCATCTTTCTGTCTGTCTCTCTCTTAATCCGTTTCTCAGCAGCAGGTTCAGGTTCCCACCCCTCAGCCCACTCCAGGACCCCCTCTGGTCCCTGCCACCACCCAGCCAGCTCCTCCTGGGACCTCCCAACAGGTGAGACAACCTCAGAGAGTCACTTTCTATACATCCAAACTTCTTCCCGTCTCTTCTCCTGTTTCATAACTTTTCACCCACTTCTAATACCACATCACCTTAAAGTCCAAACCCCATATAGATGAAATGCAAAAATAACTCCACCCTATTTTTTGTGCTTATACAGCAATACTTGTATGTCGGCTTTCTCTTTGAAGTGCCTTTGCTCGAAGGTAACCACTCCCACAGAGCTGGCACTTTGCCCGCAGTAATACCACAGTCTTTGTGAAGACCTGCGTTTGCCCCCAGCACAAACTACTGCGATGAACTAATTGCAGCCCTAAACTGATTTGATTGAGCATGAAATTGGATGTTAATCAGAGATCAAATGTTTGTTGTCAGAAAAAGATGGAATGTTTGAACTTTTCTTTCTGAACCAGCAAAACAGCTGTTCTCCCATAATTACTTTCACCATGTTTACATAACAGTCCAAACCTCAATATTGCATTGACAATTTACAAATATTTTTTATTGTAATATTTCTTAAAAACCTATCGTTAAATTAACATTACAGGGGGTGCAATATAACTGAATTTATTAGAGGAAATTGATTTTCCCAGCTGGAATTTTCCAACTAATGCTGGTTTTGTATGACTGGGAATTGAGGTTATCCAGGTTATTATAAGCAGGACATGGCTGTGAACTGCACTCGCTAAAAAAGTACCAAACCTGAAAAGGATATTGGTTATGTTTATATTTATATATCTAATAATTCCCTATCTTCTTTCCTGTCTCTCTGCCTCATATACTTTCTCTCTCTCTCCAGGTTTCGTCCAGTCACAGTATTACATCAGTTCAGAGCCCCACACACTCCTCTCTGTCGCAGGCGTCTTCACAGGTACGTCACGTAGCACCACTAATTGAAATATACTGTATATGTAACATAATACTTAATGAACACACTCCTAATGCACACAAGCTGGCGCTGGTTCTTTGTAGACAGGTTCAGGATTTATATTAGGATCACCATACATGTCTGCATACATCTTTAGCAACACACACACTAAGCTTCTCATACATAATACAGTAGTAATTATGTGCACTTAAACATTTGCACACAGATCCTTAAATAGAATCTGATGTCTGTTCGATAAACACTGAGTCATTATAGTGCAGTCCTCATAAACATATGTCAGGGTTCAGGTTCCAAACAACTCTTTGTTATGCCTCATTTCCACTGTATGGTACGACACGGTGCTACTGAACGTGCCTTGCTTGACTAGAGACCAACATATCCACCTTAATCTTAAGTTATTTTAAGTGATGTTTAGTCATGCCAACAGACCTGTTTAAGAGTGGAGCCAAGGGAAGTAAAAACAAACTATGATGTAAGGTGGTATTGAGAAGACGTATCAATTTAGAATAGTCTTGACAGCAATGTCTGTCTTGTCTATAGCGCTTGCCATTCTCGTAATTACTCCCAATTGGTTTTAGTGCACCACTTGACAATGCTCAAAAGAAGCTTGACGATGGGGTTAGTCCCCTTGTGGTGCTGATGGGCCGTTACTTATCTCAATCTAGAGACCACTGTTTCATGTCATGATGCCAGACAAATCATTCAACTTGGAGGAGCAGGCAGATTCAAAGGTGTGGAACCAGGCAAGATATTACCTGGTACTCGTCACTTGTTTTGGTACCACCTTGGTCGATGTTCCAAGTGAGCTGAGGCAAACCTAGAGGGTAGAGTTAAAACACTGCAGACCTAGCGTGACATGGGACATCCTGCACAAACCCAAGATTTTTTACATAGCCAATCTGCCGTCAATAATGACTGCAATTTTTGTATTCACTCGATTTTAAATGGAAGTCTGCATATTCTCAGAACCCATCGGCTGTATTCGGCGTCTGACTTCCAGCAAATGGCGATACAGCCTCTGGGGGCAGACCCCCAATTTTTTGGCATTCCGGTTTGATTTGGGCGGAGGAGGGGAATTTCTGTTTCCGACTTCCGTTTACATATAAGTAAATATGCTGAAACATTGCGATGGATTCAGAGTTTGCAGTGACGCCAATTATGTTCCGCCTCGTTAGTTCACCGCACGGAGCGTTTAACCTGGCAGCAACTGCAGCCGGCTCAAACGTGATTGATCAATATCACGCGGACTACAAACAGCCTAGCACCGGAAACCAGGGCTCTTCCACTCTTCTTCCGGAGGCAAGATCTCCGGGGTTTGCCTACAGACTCTACATTGACTGAATGTAGAGTCTGTATAGTGTTGCATTGAAGGTCATGTCAGGGCAGTTTCACACAGCATTGCTATGGCGATCAGCTGAGAATCCCGCCTACACTTAGTGGGTATTTTAGACAGTGGAAAACCAAATAAAGAAAAGGGGCCAATTGCATAAAACACCTTAAGTAAAGATTTTCCTTAAAGTCCAAGTTAAGGTTTCCTCAAAATAAAACTGGTTGCACAAAACATTCTGAAGTCGTCTCCTTAAGGTTTCCTCAATATGTTTGCCCAAGTATTCATGGTTTCCTGTTTGTCTTATACTTAAGAGATCCTTAGAGCATTGCACAAAAGACCTTAGTAACCAAAGCAAGGTAGAAAAAAAACTTAAGGTACCTCTGACTATATTAACTGCAACGTGATTGTGTTTATGGTGATGAATGAAAAAAACGAACAAACCCAGAGAAGAAGGTTCTGAAACCAGGAGAACCCGATGGATACACTTTTAATTTTACCCTTACAACACTTTAAACTTGACGTTGCAGTTTCTTCCTACAATTGTTTTCTATTTTCTGGTATTTGGGGATCAAATGTACTTTTTAGTATGTGCTTTCTGATTGTTTTCCTCCAGAAGTATAATATTTTCCTCCTCTGACCAATATAGTTTTTTTGTCTTCTTTTCTTCTGCCATTTTTTCACTATCTAAAGATAAGCCAACTTTGTGAGACGATAACAGGCATTACGAGGGTTTTTTTCAACTAATGACATCTTTTAAGGGATTCTGTGCAACTGTCCCTCAGCTAAGGAGAAATTAAGCCTTAAATGTCATACTTAGGGAGAAAACTTAAGATGTTTTGTGCAACCAGTGCCTGGTACTAAAAGTGAGTCAATTCCAGTCCAGTTAAGCCAAATCATACAGTACAGTGGAAATGCGGCATTAATGTTGTTTCCCTATACACTCCATTGTAGGTATATTTATACATGGAAACGCACATGGACACACACATATTTACACACACCTATGCGTTAGTATTGCATGTTTTGCTTGTCTTGAATTGCTTATTTTTTTCACTGTAAACTTCTTCTTTGTCAGCTCAGATTGTTTCTTCTATTTTTCTTTCCACTCTCTGGCTCGCTCTTTGGCATGCTGCCTGCACTTATCACCGGGTTTGTTTTTATGTGTGTTTATACATGCCTGCTTGTCTGTCTGTGTGCATGTACCTGTACTTGTACGTTTGGTGTGTGTGTTTAGTTGTGTGACCTCAGTCCGTCTCCCAGTATAGAACATCTTTATCTTTTGTACCAAGCTGCTCAGCTAGCTCTGGTTAAGGTACCCTTATGTATCACAGTGTATGCAGATGCCCTTGTGTGTATGTAAGTGCTTGTGTTATCTGTGTGATTTGATTAGTGACTGTTCTGACATCCCTCGTGTGCTCTTTGGATACACGAGCTCTGTCTTTTGTTGATGTTAGTAGTTCTCCTTTGTCCACCCCAGAACCAACCATCCTACTAACCATCTGATCAAAAGACTTGACTTCAAGTAGCATTTTGGAGTAGGGTTTTTTTTTTTTTTTTGAGAGAGAGAGAGTTGATCTTTGTGTTTGTCTCATGATGCAACACACAGTCCTGTCACAGTTTCACACTATTGACAGGTGGCTGTAAGCAATGTGCCAACAGAAGTAGGGAGGAAGGAGACTGCCAGCTTGTAAACTCAGATGTAAACCTTTGTGAAAAATTGCCTTTTGCAATGAGGAAAGAAGTGCATTTGACGTATTTGTTAGACCTCAAAGACAAACACACTGTGGGTCTCATTCATGAAATGTTAGTAAATCTGTGAGTAGATTTGCACATATAAAACCTCGGTACTAAAATCTCTGGATTCATGAATGCAATGGAAAACTTGGATTTGTAGGCTCCTGCGTATGTTCGTGAACGACAATCAATTGTCGATTGACAGCGCAGTCCCACTTGTCAGCAAGTGGCATAGATCCCTGCCCGTGAATAGCCAGTGACCGCCATATATGGAGGTGATAATTACCATGGATAGGTGCATCATTTGACCTGCGAACATGGAGCAAACAAAGAAAGAGAGAAGAAAAACTTGTCTAATGCTGAGATTGAAGTTATTTTAGGTGAAGTGGGGTTGAGAAAAACATATTATTTTCTTCTGTAAGTAGTAATGTGACAGGGACAGGTAAATCAAAGGCCTGGAAGGAAGTAACAGGTGCCGTTAACTCTGTGTTATCTGTGGCAAGAATCGTCCAAGAAGTTAAATGGCAATTTATGTGAATTTCTTATTTGCACAAGCACTATAAGTAGTCAGAAGCAGGTGTATATTTTGCTAGTACCTACAAAAAGATCAGAGCTACTAACATATTGATGAATGCCGAAATACACTTAAATTTCCTTCTGCCAACAGTTTACACACAAATTCATTCTGCTCACGTTTCATGAACAAGCCCCAGTGTCTGTGAGGTGAATGTAGACTTGCCGCAGCATAACTCCTTAAATCACTTTGTTAAGCCTTAGCATGAGAAAACATTTGTCTGTAGGTTTCTAATCCTGTGTCTCTGTGGTGTTAAAGAGTGTTGTCCATCAAAGAACTTGCTTGCTCTTCCACTCCCCATAAAGCCGTACATTGTCCGTAGAGATCTGAGTTGTCTATGGTTGCATGATCTTAAGAGTCATGTGTGTCTTACACAGTCATCCAGTCACGGAGTTGTTTAATTTGACATGCTGTCACTAATAGGCTTGATGGATGTTCCAGTTGTCTTGCTCGAAGAATTGTTTGTGGAAGGTCAGTAATGGGTCAGTGAACTATGGATGGCTCTTTCTCCTGGTGTCTTTATTTGAACTTGAGATCCAGAGCATCAGACTCACAAGCTTTTTTCTCCCGAAGCACATCTGAAGCCTTTAAGGTGAACCAACATTTAAACTAAAGACCATCTTTAGCTCACTGTTCCATTACGAAGGCGACTGACGTTGACTCTGTCTGTGCTCATCACATCTGATCATTGCCGGGGTTTATCTACTTCCGATCCTCCCTTTGACATTGCTCCCTCCCTTTTCTCACCTGTTCCTGCTTCCTATCCTCTGCCTTATCCACCTTCTTCTTTCTCCTTTCTTTTTTCCTTTCCTGCCTCCTCATCTTCCTCCTTCCGGCCCTTCCTCCTCTTCTCAGCCCAGCGTAACTCCGTCTACCGTTTCCTCGGCGACCCTGCCCTCTCCGTCGCCATCCCTCCCTGTTTCCATGCCGGCAGCGGCCGTGGCTTCCCCTCCCTCTACTCTGCCACTCCCTGTCAGGGTGGTGCCTACTATTGTTTCCCCTCCTTCTCCTCCTCCCCCTCCCCCTCCTCCTCCTCCTCCTCGTGTGTCCACACCTGTGCCTCGGCCATTGGCCACCGTGGTGCCAATCATCAGTGTAGTCACCACCCCGCCTGATAATGTGATGGAAGCCCTGCCCCAGGTACCAAGCTGATGTAGGATCGTCAAAGCTGAATGCTCTAGGTCGTGTTTTAAATAGTATTGTAGAGCCTTGGATCATGAGTTATAATTTTTAACATTGTTTTTATGAATTCCTACTTGTCCAAGATTTGTATTTGAAAGGCAGGATGGACTGCAGATTAGGATGCAAGAACATTTTTGTATTCTCACTCTAAAACTGTTTTTCTGTGAGGTTTGTTCATACAAGTGTACAAAGACAGATTTACTAATCTCTTTTAACTGCGCAACTTGGTGGTAATTCGCTGGTTTCATGCCTCCTGTTAATGAGGACGTCTGCGTGTGTTAATGTTTCATTCACAAAAATGTCAGTCAAGAGTAAATCAAAAGAATGTGACACTGCAGAGCTTCAAGTTCTGCTGTCAGAAATCAGATTTAGCAGTTTGTAGAATGGTATTAGAGAACCCTAAAAACATTAAATATTAAGAGTGCAGCTGTCACAACGTGTCATTAGATCAGCTTCATACTATGACAGTAATAAAGAGGGAATGGTTTCAAATGTTAGATGCTAAAAAACTAAAGCAAAGCGTTCTGTAACTCATATGAGAGGTAGTCAAGTTAACATGACACAGCAGTATTAGATCAGAAAATACAATAGGCTACAGTAGGTGTTGTTACACTCTCAGTGCAACAGAAGATGATCCTGATCCTGCGTTAAAACCCAGAGGCAGCTGTTGGAAAATCTTCCTAGGGACTACAGAAATGTTTATATGCTGCATACTCTACAGTAAGAATTCGAATATCAGGTTTGAATCTGATTGATCTGAGCAACTGATGATGTCTCAGCTGTTTAGCCTATTACTCAAACTAAGGCTCTTGATCTATATTTGCAGCCGTGTGTTACTGTAAGTTCGGGCTGGGCGATATGGAGAAAACCAGATATCACGATATTTTTGACCAAATACCTCGGAATCGACATTGCGACCATATTATAGGGCTTACACTTGGTGCTTATACCAATAGTACTGTATATTTACTAGGGATGCAAGATATAAGATTTTTTGGCGATACCCGATATGCAAATATGTAACGAGTCATTTGACCAATAACTGAAACCGATATCAGTATATCCACTTTTTCCCCACCTAATTTTAGTGTTCATGTTAAACATGCATACACTTGTTGAGATGGTGCACCAGCAGATGGAGACATGCAATGCAATACTTTTCAGTGTATGTAATATTCACTCATTGTGGAAGGTAAGAAAAAGAGTGTTTGCCAATTCATTAAAGCCCAAATAGTCCAATACCAATAACGTACCGATATTACCATGCATCCTTAATATTTTTGCAGTGAGATTTTTGACAAGTGTGTAAACGCAAATAATATGTAGCTAGAACAGTCTTTTAAGTTCAGAAAATGACATCACTTTACTGTAATACAGCCTTGAAAAACCAGGAAAAGACAACACTATGGGTTTTACAATATCCAAAATCCAAGACACTATGGAGGCTCATACCACGATATCAATGTACTATTGATAAATTGTCCTGCCCTATTGTAAGTGGTGCTGCATTAGTGTTGCCATGATACTGGAATTTCAACTTTGATACAATACCTTGAAAAATATAGATATTTTTATAACGTTTTCGTAACCATGGGGAAAAAATGGACATTTATTTAACATTTTTATGAGACGATAACTATAACAGGGCTGAAACATGACAAGTCAACCTTTCTTTTCTTGGCTAGTAGCAGACAACAGCAGAATGACCTTAGTAAACATCAAGAATAAGAGAGAGTGAGAGAGCAAAGCTGGTAAAGTCTACTAATACTGCGGAAAATGAGTATTGAAATCTGTTCAAAATCAACATGTATTGATAATCAGTATTTTTGACAGCACTATACTGCATTTACAGCACATGCACCTTAGTGGTAATTAATGACTGTCTGAAACTTCTCATCTCGTTTAATAAGATCCATGATCATGTGCTGAAAATATGATGATTTACTGTTAATCTACATAGAATAACCAGCTTGTTGTTTCACGTTGAGTAACTTTTGTGGCTTAGTTTGTATAGCAACACTGATTAACTTAAAAAAAAAATCACAATCAGGCAGGAACTGTTGGAAAAGATTCCCGAATTGTTGGTGTGATTTTGCTGAGATTAAAAACATCTGCAAAAACAGTTTTGATTGGTCTACAAATAGATGATGTCTAATAGAATTGATCAGTCGCTGTTTTGGTCCAAGTGTTAGAGTCAGACCGTTTTAAAGAGCTTAATTAGGGTTGCATGTGTTATTGGAGAAACTGAATGACCTATTTCTCTTCTGTTGCTGTTCTTGCTTCGCTCCTTTTGTTCCATGCTCTAGTTTAACTGTTGTTCGGCCTCAGACTGTTCTGTATTATTTAATTTGGATAAATACTTGTTACTTTACAATCATGAAAACATTTCTTACAATCTAGTTAGTTTCTCTCCTACTTTTTCCACACTTTCCTTATATGTCATGCTTTCTTGCTGTATTTTCTTCCCTAAAAATGTCTGGTGTTGGTGTTGATTGCAGTCATATCGACTGTGTGTGTGCGTGCATTTTCATATGCCTGTGTGTGTTTCAGTCGGCCTCTCAGTCTTCAGAGCTGTCCCAGTTGCAGCTACAGCCACCTCAAGTTCTGTCATCCATAGAGAGGTAACGAATGCATGCACAATCAAACTCACACACACAATCACATTTAATCTTTGTGATGCTGCCTCTCACTCTGTGCCTATTTACCTCCTTCTCCTTAATTAAATTCGGCCTCTGTTTCCCGTCCTTGCCTCAGTGGCCACTCTGAGATGTCAGGCCTGAGTGACGGCAACGAGGGAGGAGGAGGTCGCCACGAAGGGCGCTCCACCAAGCGACACCAGAGGCGTTCTGTGCGAAGTCGCTCACGCCATGAGAAGATCTCCAAGGCGAAACTCAACGTCCTCAATGTAATAGCACATCCCATAAATCCTATAAAGTTATAATTGCACAATAAATCCTCTCTTGTGCTGCACAGCCGTTGGTATTTATTGGTGGATACAGAGTTATGAGTGGCAATAAAAGTAATGAGCGACATCTAATTGAAACACTCATCTGTTTTCAGGCTTTCTCCTTCTTTCTAACTGTAGTTTTATTTCTCTAAGTGTTTTTACATGTTTGTACGTGTGCTCTGTGTTTGTAGATCTCCAACATAGGAGACAGGGTAGCAGAGTGTCAGCTGGAGACCCACAACAGGAAGATGGTGACCTTCAGGTTTGACCTGGATGGAGACAACCCTGAGGAGATTGCCCAGATTATGGTACACACTCTTTTAGTTCATTTACTCTCCCTCCAACTGTAATAATATTTTAAAGGGGACCTATTATGTTCATTTCCAGGATCAGACTTTAATTTAAGGTTTCTACTAGAACATGTTAAGATGCTTAAAGATTGTAAAACACTTTATTTTCCCCATACAGTCTGTGCTGCAACGCTTGTATCCACCCTCTGTCTGAGATGCTCAGTTTTAGTGCCTGTCTCTTTAAGCCTTCCTCCCAAAAACACCTAGTCTGCTCTGATTGGTCATCGTTCTGGGTCTTCCACATCCTGGGGTCTCACTTCTAAACCAAAATCTTTATAATCAGATGTGTCAGCAGGAATATGATCCAAAATTGGGCAGAAATTTACAACATCTAAAACCAAGACTTCATGTTTCCCTGTTGTTAGCATATAGCTACATGTAGCAGTGTAGGCTAATTATTTTGCACTTGCTTGGTATTAAAGACAGTCTTAAGCCTGAGATTCAGTTCAATTGGACCCAAGTTCGTTTGCCCCCTAAGTGCAGTTTGTTTGGGCAGGTGTGAACACAGCAATCGTACTCAGGTGTGCACCAAAGCATCCGGACTGAGACCTTCTGGAAGAGGTGGTCTCAGTCCGGTTACAAACAAACCCTGGTGTAGTTCATTTGTGGTGAGAGCGTGTCCTGCAGTCACATGACACATTGTTTGGTTTAAACATGAGCATGTTACAGTCCTGGAGGATTATTAATGTGCACCTCCTCCTGTACTGCCTTAATATGCACATTCAGCACATCCAATGCATCAAAACATTGTTTTCTAGTTGGAGCCGCTCCTCGTTTTCAAACTGTATGGTTTGACTAAAATGAACAATGACAGCAATATAGTCCACGATGAGCAGCACTAAAATCAACCTGTGTAGTTGTCCCTCCATTGCAGGACTGTACGTTAACTTTTTTTAAGCCCATAGCACTAGTGCTACAGAGTGTGATAATTTTGTAGCACAGGCCAGAAAGTTTGTAGCACCTGTGACAATAACGAATTTTGCTGGTTGATTAATTGCGTCAGAAATTATTGTGATAATATTGCGTAATATTGTGCTTTTAAGACCATTTTTTATTATTGTTGTAATTTTGCTGTTTTTAAGATCATTTTTTAAACTTATATAATGATAATAAAGACATAATGATGCAAGTACACCCTTTTAAAGAGAAATAAACATTTATTTAACAAGAATATTTAGGAATGCAAAAAAAAAAAAATTTAAATATCTAAAATAACACGTAAAAATACCAAAATAAATAAATAAAGACCTTATAAATACAACAAAATAGACTGTCAGTCTCTCACTCTCAGGTGTGCAGTTAAGTTGGTCATATTCACTCTTTTGTTGAGATGGTTTTTAGAACAAACCTGGCACACCGGCTCGTCAAAATTACTGGGCTGCCCTCTGTCATTTGGTTTAAATCCAAAACACTCCCACATAGGGGCCGTGGTGTTTGGTTTAGGAACAAGGTCCGTGTCTTTCTCTTACGCTCAACTCTGGGTTTTTTTCCGCCTCGTCTCCCCCCACAATGATCGCACTGTGTGTGTGTGTAGCCCATAGCCCCGCCTCCCCCACAGAGACAAAGACACTCGATGACAAGAGCTTTCCCTCCATTCATTACGCTAATGAACCAACTCACCTGGCTGCCAGACGATGCACGGAAGTGAACGCTCTTGTCGTCTAAAAACGAGAAAAGAACAGACCACACACACAAGCGGCTCACAAGCAGTCTGTCGCACGCATGCTAGTAGGCAGATGAATTCATCGCACAAACATTTTTTTCCATTGTACGTGCGACATATATGTCTCAACAGCAGCTTTCTCGCGCAAGGCATTTGATCTGGTCTGCTTGTAAATGCTGCCGTGAGAACACGAACCAACTCTAGGCAATTATTCAACTTTGTAACAAAATAAGTCCTTGATTCAGACCAAAGCAAGACACCTCTAGGTCTGAAAGCAGCCTAAGGAAAAGCATTGTAGGTCCCCTTTAAAATTTCTACACAAAGGCTGGAATATGCTTCACATGCCAGTGTGAGTGCTATCTACTCTTAGTAACCAAAAACCACTGAAATACACATAATTGCTGAGCTCTTGTCCTTGTGCTTTCATTGACAGAGCAGTCAACAGGTTCCCACAGGAGCCAAAATTATACCTCCGTGGCCACGCACTGGCACAGGAAGCATAACCCAGACAGTGGCTTTGTTTTTGTTGCATATTATATACACACATTCTAATCTGACTGTTTTCACTGCAGGTCCAGAGTGAGTTCATCCTGGAGAGTGAGAGGGAGTCGTTCATTGAGCAGGTCAGAGAGGTGATAGAGAACGCAGATGAGAAGGGTCTGGAGAGAGATGCAAACAGCCAGGTAAATACAACACCCTCTAGCGTGGCTTTTCTTCATGTTTTCAGGGGTAGCTGGTGTCGGTTTCTGGTAGAAAAATGCTAAAATAGCTGCTTATGTACACGCCTTTATTTCTCTACACCATCTATCTTTCAGAGTAAATTCATGTTGTGTTGTTGATCTACAGATGGCAGGTGATATGGCGCAGCAGATTCCTGCTATATCTGTCCCCATGCCAGGTAAAAATAACAAAATATAAACCCTTAGAATAACAACAGGCACCAGTTTGAGTACCAGCAGGGCACCAGGGTGGCACATGCAACCATAAAAGCTGACTGTAACTGTCTGTGTCACTGAGTTCCTGCAAAATCTGTAAACAGGACAGAACTTCCACACTGTGATTTACCATATTTTCTCTGCTTCAAAGCTTCAAACATAGCTGCCTGTAGAATAGAAATACAAATAACAATGATGTGTATCGACAGACATCCCTCCCAGTGCAACAGCACAAGTGGTCCACTCAGCAGGTCGGAGGTTCATCGTCAGCCCCGTACCTGAAGCCAGGCTGAAGGAACAAATGTTTCCTACGTCTCCTCCTGCCCCTGCACGTCCAACTGAAACAGGTAAGGATTGTGTGTGTGTGACCTTAAAAGGTCAGCTGGCTGTTATTATTTTGAGGGCCAAAAAAAAAAAAGAAATATTAAGATAAGCCTGAGGTTGTTAAAAAAAAGAAGAGTTGTTCTGCAATTTCACTTCAAACACACACACACACACACACACTAATGCACATTAAATAACTGTGTACTTTGTCACACACACTCATCAGATTAAGCTGTAATGCTTTTAGCGGAAATTGTTCAAGTGTTCTGTCCAAATGCAGTAACGCACTGGCATTTATTTAATTTGATACCACAGGACTGTGATACTCAGCTTACAGCCTGTGGGCCAAATCCACCCGGCGACCATTTTCCAACCAACAATGAAAATAAGTTGCTTCAGTTGTTTCGGAAATTTGTTTTTGTGTTTGAAGTGAATGAAAAAGTGTCACAATAGAAGTTGTTCATCCAAAAAAAGGTGCCTGGGGAAGATACCCTGGACGCCCCCTGACAGAGGTTCAGGCTAAGCCCCAAATGTCCTTACATCCTAGAAACACCCGTGTGTGCACCTGATATGTGCAGGGCTGCTGCGACTGGATTTACCTCTTAGCAAAGATGAGTTAAGACATCAAATGTTGAAGGGTTGAAAACAGGCAGTTCAGTTATTATATATACTGGTCAACTGGCAATGTTTGCTAATTAACTGGCCCCTGGCCTCCTGACATTTTGCAAAAGTGGCCCCTGGGCAAAACAAATTCAGTATCCTTGCCTTAGGATCTCCTCGTAGAACACTGGAATATTAACAGCTGTGTCCTTCATCTGGATGTTGCGTGTATATTAATAACATATCAGAACTACCTTTTTCATTACGTAATGTCCGAAATAATAGTTTTTTTTAATATGAAATAACTAAAGCAGTTGCTTAGTCCTTCCCAATTTTCTGAATAACGCAAAAGGGATCCAGTGGCATATTTTGTTACCAGAGGGAAACCACTTGGATAAATCCAATCAGAACCACTAGACTTAAGATAGACAGCTGCATAAGTGGTTAACCCTGTTCGGCACCACAGTAAACCCTTAATGTTTCTTAACAAGCTAAAATTGACAGTTAGCGACATACCTGGCACAAGAAAGCCGTCTTTGTAACCCCAAAATGTGGAAAATAACACCCAGTGAAAACAAATATTGTAAGTACTTGCAGGTCAAAGATCAGGACACACGTTGGGGATTGACACAGTGTCTCTTTTTTCCAGTTCCTCCAGCTGCAGCTCCAGCTCCATCCCACACTCCCGGCCAAGGTGTTGGGTTGTCCCAGTCTGCTGGAGCAATCAGCTTGCAACAAGCCTTCTCTGAGCTCAGACAGAACCAGACTCAGCTCGATACTGGACCCAGCACCGCCCCACCTGCCATCCACTCCACCCAACCTCCTCTGCAGCCTGCAGCAGCGTCTATCCCTGCACAAGCTAGCACAGTCACTCCTGCTGCAGATCCAACTGCTGGACTTGTTCCCTCTACTTTAAACCAGGCACAGGAGCAGGTGTTGGATGCGACTCGTTCTCCCCCTTCGTCCTCCTCAACCCCCTCCTCTATGCCTGCTGTGTGTCTCAGCCCTCCTTGTTCCTCGTCCCCTCCTCCCACTGTGGTGAACCAGTCCATCCTTCAGTCGCAGGCACTTCCACAGGCTGTGTCCCAACCCCAGGGACAGGTGCATGTCCAGGGGCAAGCACAAATCCAGCCCCAGGCTTTCACCCAGCCTCAGGCTCAAACTATCTCTGCTGTCATTGCTACTTCAGTTGCCTCTACTCTACTGCCTGCCAGCATCCCCCCAACAATGCTCACCTCCCCTCCTCCCAGCCAGGCTCTTCCTCTTGTATCCTCCCCTCCCTCCTCCACTCTTCAAGCCAGTGAAGTCTGTGCCGATCATCCTTCAGTCTCTTCCACCTCCTTCTCTACTCCTTCCCTCTCTTCCACTGTCATCCCCACCACTGCCATCCCAGGCCCCCAGCTTGTTCCCTCCACCGCCATCTCCCACTCCACTCCACCTCCCTCCACCTCCTCTGCTGTGGGGCTCCAGCCAGTGACTACCAATGTTCCCTCAGTCCAACCGACCTTGGTCCACTCCCAGCCACAGACGGCAGCCCTGCCTGGGCAGACGCACACACACTGTGGGGAATGTGATGCAAGGTAAGAGATGTTCACTTTATTAACTTATTAGGACTTGGTACTGACTAAATTGTGTCTGTAGCATGGCCTGTATGAAATAATGGAAGTATCCACCATGATGTCAGCCATTGGTTTGTGGACTCCCAATTTGAAGCCTTGAATTTGGCCGTTGTCATCCTATATTTTTGGAGCCAGAAGTGACCAAATTTGGACGAGAGGGCGGATTAACCCTAACGCTATCTGCTAGCATAGTTAGCGCGGCAAATTTACAGTTATGGTAATGCTAATGCTAATTTTTGCTTGTGAAAAACCGGCTTAAAGCTATTAAAACAAAATGTATTTTGCCCCCAAAAAACCCCCGGAATATCTGAGTTCTTTGAACACAGGCGTAGGTTTCGGGGGGATGCAGGGGTCCATCCTGCTGAATATTCAGAACGTGCACCTTCAGGATCTACAGACTTTTGTACCAAACCAAAGCTTTGAACCCAGGTTGCACCCCCCCCACCCCCCCTATTAAAAGGTTTATCAAAACAGGACGCTCCCCCCTAAGAACTGTAAGGACATGACCTCAGGATGTGGAGAATTGCCCCCCAATACAGATTCCTGAATAATTCCCACAAAATCAAAAAGCTATGCACTTAATTATGTGCAAACACTGATTGATATGTTTCCCAGGTGTGAGGCATTCACCGAGTCCCAAGGCAAACCTGACGACATCCAAGCTCTGGAGAAGAAGCTGCGGTCTCTCTTCATGGATCTCGGCGGAGGGGTGCCGTCCACCCAGGGAGACATCTTAGCTGCTGACCCTGCCTCCGGAGCCTCTGTGGCAGGTACCTCGTCCCCAATGGGCCCCTGCTCTACCTCCAGCACATCTGTCACCACACCTGGCTCCAGCCAGTCGGTCAATCCTCCTCAACCCCCATCCAGCCTGTCACTGGGGTCACCTGCTCCAATCCAGGGCCCTGGAACACCGATATCCACCCCTGCGCCAATTGGTATGTAGATGGATATATGTGTTTCTGCATATGTGGTAGTGTCAGTTAACCCGTGTTTTAATAATGCTGCTTACTGACTTTGATTCCAGTCTCTTCAGTCATCCCTGCTTCATCCTTTGGCCAGACCACTCCATCCAAAACTCCTGTATCCAGGGTACCGGTGAGTGATTCAGCTTTGCAATACTAGTCACTTATATCTAGTTAAAGCACTAGTCATTTTATTATTTAGTTAATTCTGTGGTCAGCTGAGAAACTGCTCAGGTAATTTACAGTACTGCACTTTCAAAGGTTATACCGTTTCTATTCACTCTCCTTATCACTCATCTGGCATGAAAATTTCTTTTTAACATTCTCCACAACGAACACTATTCTTGTAACCTCCTCTACAAATCTTTTCTCTCTCATTTCTCCCACTCTGTCTTTACATCACCTCTCTGTCTCTGGGATTAGGCCAGTTCTCCTCCTTCAGAACTCCTGCCATCCTTCCCTGGACCTTGTCTAATACAGGTGTTTTATTTTTTGCTCTTTGTCAGAGTCTTGTTTCTAATGCAATGAAACACTGTGTGCATACTGATTCTGCTGCGTCTGTTGTGTTTGAATAGTGCTGCTTCTGTATAGTGCTTATTGAATACTTTAATAGCTTGTGAAACCCTATATGACAAGACGTTGAAAGGAAACTCAGACATTATGTTTCATCTCCATCATGAACCCATCATACTTCAAAAGAAGATTACTTCCTGTGCAGCTGAAAACACAACAGATAAATGACAGTGAGGCTCAACAATGTAACATCAAATAAATGCGTTCAACTACAAAGAAATCCCTATACTTTTACTTTAAATGGAGAATAATGGTAGATAATAAGAGAAAGTAGGGTCAGAGAGAAGCTGTTTAAGAGACATGGACAGAGAGAGACAGAGGCTGTAGGCAGACAGGCTGTGGACCGGGTACCTCAAGGAAGAGACAACATCAAACTGACTCTGATTTCCAGACTGTTTTGTTGTGGCTGTGAACGCCGCCGTCTAAGAATAGTCCGTCCATGTAACCACTGAACAGTGAGATATGACTTGTAGCTCTTTTATTAAAAATCCGAGCTGCCAAGTCACCAGCATTCCCTTCTTGTTCCTTATGTAACTCTCATGGGCGAGACATGTCCTGTTCGATTAAGATAATCCCGCTGCAGTCGAAGCTCACAAGGGATTTGATTTTAATGATTTATTTTTTCATTTCAGTCAAAGACCCCCTCCGGTTAAAATCAAGTTTTTGCCTTGTTAACACGTCCATATGGTGTTTTTTATATTCTACAAAACATATCATGAGGGAAATAAGCAGTTTAAGCCATGGCTGAGTGTTTCTGCCTTGAAATGTCAGTGTACTGATGGCAGTCTCAGAAAACAGAGATTCGGACAGCCAGGGTTTCATACGTCACATACTTGTGCAGTGGTGTGTCTGTGTCACTCTGCAGTTATACCTCCAAAACACTGGTCAATGGTAGGGTTTCACCCAAAACACACATTAAACACACATTAAACACACATTAAACATGGCTAAATAGAGACAATTTCAAACACAAATCAGCTTCATTATAACTCGCAGCATTCACAGACAAACACTTGTCTTTATCTGGACACATTTTTCCCACAAATACAACATGCCAATGTTATTAGCACAAGCCTATAGCATTTTACATTGTATAAATTAGCCTAGCAGCTAGCAGACTTTGCCTCTACTCATATGAAGCCAGGGACAACAGCAACATTTAACAAAGGTGACGTCAAAAAATTTGGCTCAGGAGGACAGAATACCTTCTTTGCCTTCCACACCACTGTATCTGTGATTGTGTGTGTGTTGGCGCAGGAGAGAGGTCTGATTAAACTTGGAAGGAAAGCACTTTTTCTCATGCTCTGCCTTCTAAAATACACACATACTCATAGCTGCTGAATGTCAGTTAAACAAATATGTTCCAGCTCTCGTAACCATATATGTGTGCTTTAGGCTGCTTTGTGTTTGTGTTGCTAATCAACGTCAGTGGCTGATCCTGCGTGTGTGTGTAAGTGTGTGTGTTTGCTTATTTGTGTGTGTCTAAAAGAGTATCTTGTCTTTTTCTAGTCCCAGCAGCCTTTAGAGGACCTGGACGCTCAGTTAAGGAGAGCGCTGAGCCCAGAGACTGTTCCTGTCAGCACACACACACAGGTAAACACACACGTTTGGATATTATGACATGGTATATACTGCTCTTATTCAATGACACTGCTCAGTTCTCACCCACTTCCTTTTCTCTTCATGCTGAACTTCAGGCCTCTCACGGTAGCATACCTTCAGTGGGACAACCAAGTATGTATATTATTAATCTGTTAATCTATCTGTCTTTATATCTGTGTTTTATGTGTCTGTTTAATACATGTAACATCTGTCTTTCAGTTCCTTTCTCTCTGGAGGAAGCAACTGCTCCTCCTCATCCTGCAGGTGGAATTAAACTGGGAAGATTTCAAGTAAGATTTCCCTCACACTAAAGACTAGAGCTGCTAAAATTAGTTGAACAATCACTTGGTAGATCAACAGAAAATTAACTGACAACTAGTTTGATAACTGAATAATTGTTTTAGTAATTTTATAGGCAAAACACCTGGTTTCATGCTTCTTAAATGTGTGAATTTGATGCTTTTCTTTGTCATACATGATAATAAACTAAACAGCTTTGGATATTTTAGACTGTTGGTCAGATAAAACTACTATTTAAAGATGTCACTTTGGACTCTTTTGGCAAATTACATGAGGGATGTTTCAGTATTTTCCAATATATTATCGACAAAGTGATAACTCAAGAAAATAATGCCAAGTAAAAAGCTAAATATAAAGCTAAGTAACTGACAATGAAAATATTAGTCGGAGCCCTACTACAGATCATACATGCATTTCCTTTTCTATCGATCTAAGGGTGACATCATAAATATAGGCTGCACAAATTGTGAAATTCTGGGCCAATACCGATGTTTAAAATAACGATTTTGGCAATGGCCAATACCGATGGTTATTTGTTGTTGTTTATTTTGTTTTTGTAGCTCTTTTGTGTCAGGAAAACAAAGAAGTCTACATTATGAAAAAATAACTGAACTTTTTTTGAGTCACTAAGCCCTTGATTACACTACATTTGAATGAGAACAACTTCAGTCATATACACTTTTGAAACAATCTTTACGATATCTTTCTTTGCATGAAAAACATTTCTTAAATAAGCGTTTCAAAAGCATTTTTACTAGATATACAGTAATTCCGTGACAGTGGAATTCCCTCTCTAATATCTATTTATTGTTGCTGTAAAACAAAAAATCAACAAATTTCTCCTTTAAACAACTGTATTTATTCAAGTTTCTTACCAAAAACAAATTTTTACAAGATTACATTTGAACACATCAAGATAACATTATGATTTACCTTTGCCCAAGACTCATTTTTAGTGAACAGAGCTCGAACGCATCATAATGTAACTCAGTGCAACCTCGGTCAGCAGTTAGGTGCGGTCACCAGCTGCTAACAGCTAACACTAGTACGTTGACAGTGAGTTTACTGCGTCCTTTTGTCTTGACGCCATCCTGGGAAATATGTCTCTTCATCCCAAACACATTTTCTGGTATCCCCGGAATGACGTTAGCCATCAAGCCATGCTTTTTAGCCCGCGCAAAATTGATGCGACACAATGGAAAAACATCGGCAGCTGCCGTCAGTGAATGTCATCTTATTTTCCGATAGGCCGGTGGCAGTAAACAAGGTGAATATCAGCTGATGCTGATTAGTGGCCTATAAATCGGTGCATCTAGACCTGAAAAAATCAAATATTCCAGGTTGTGATCACTTCTGAAATTTCAGTTTTTCTCTGTATATTCAAAATAATCAGCAGCTAAGTAAGACTGTGTGCCTGTTTCTTCTTCTCTGTGACATCATCCCTATTCCCTCACCCCTCTCACTGATTAGGTGTCATTGGCTGCTGAAACGCCTCCTGCCCAACGCCCGGCTTGCACTGAATCTTCCTCCACCACCTCCTCCTCCTCATCTTCTTCCTCCTCGTCCTCCTCCACTCTCTCCAGCCCAGAGAACACACTGCACAAGGACTCCTCGTCTCCTCTGAAAGGGGGAGGAGGAAAGGGAGGAGATGTTGTAGATGGACTCCCGCAACGTACTCTGGGAGTGCCCCACCAACCCTCCCCCCTCACCTCGCCCTGCCCCTCTCCTAAGCCCACCACGACCATCGGGCGCTTCCAGGTATTTCCTGTTTTTGACGAGGGGTTTCTTTGCCACATGTATGAACTGAAAAACAGCCAGTCCTTCACTCCTTTGTTTGTCTAAAGTTCTAGTCGTTCATTGTTTCATCTACTGTTATTTCAGGTTACCACCAACACAGAGGCCCGTGTCGGTAGATTCTCAGTGAGCCGTGCCCAGGAGCAGAGCCTTGAGCCCAAGCAGACCCCTCCACCCGCCACTGCCCAGGCTGCTAATGGACCCAGTAATCCTGTGCAGATTTTGAGTCCAGATTGGACTCATAAAGCCTCGCTGCCGAGTCTAAACAACAACTCCTTTAATAACTCCTACATCAGCAGTGACAACGACTCTGAATTTGAGGACGAGGACTTCAAACGGGAAGTCAGCCACCTCAGAGAAAAGTAAATTATCCCTCAGAGAAAGACACATTTGTTGTCCTATCAACACTCTCCTCTTTCACCCCGTCTTCATTAGGTTTATTTTGCTGTCTTCTTCTTCTGTGCCCCCAAAAATAGCAGGCTGCGCTCTGCTTCTCTTTTCTCCTCTTCCTCTTTCCTCGCCATCAAGAATGAGGTTAACCACCCACTTTCCTTCATTACTTCTCTCTCTTGCTTCTTCCTCTTTTCTTGAAAAAGGATGTTAAGCGCTTCCAAGAACACTTGGCCCACCTCCTCCTCTTCCCTCGCTTCTTCACCCTCATTATCTCTTTCTCTCTTTAGCCTGTCAATATTTTATTCCTCATATTTTTCATTCCCTCTTTGTACCACCAGGCACATGCGAGAGATCCAGGCCCTGCACTCCCGCCAGAAGGAGGAAATAGACCGTCTCTTCACCAGGCTGGGAAAGGTAACTCATCTCGTCCACATCCGTACACATACTACAAATAGCATCTTCAACAATAAATAGCAAGCAACCATTGTTTCTTTGGTCTTGGTGTAGGTTCCTCCACCTGCAGTGCTCCCTCCAGTGATAGGCTTGACTGGCAGGAGGCGACGGCCTACCAAAAGCAAATCCTCCAAATCGTCCAGAACCAGCTCCACACACAGCAGCAAGAGTCCATTACAGCCAGGTAGGCTCTTGTCTAAACATTCAGATCAAGAAGAATTGGTTCACCCAAAGTCCAAAGAAACATGATTTCTTACTGGTTTCTGGTGGTAACTAGCCAAATAGTGGTTGGTTTTATTTGTCCAGGATTTGAGATATCATCTCTAAGATTTCTGCCTCCACCCCAACACAGTGGTGGTGATAACGTTTGGTTTATGTTGCTCACAGTGCTAAATATTGGCATTTAAAGAAATACAACAGCAATCTTGTAGCACTCAAGACAGGTCCACTTTTTGAAACTCTCAGCCCTCATCTTTATTCGATCTTGTCTCTTTATTGGACAAAGAGGACACAGAATTTTATTTCAAGAACGTTGTATCTCAGAAAACAATGGAAAATTCACACACATGAAGTTCAGTGTGGGACTCGCACTGGTCTGGCCTTGTCTTGTCTTGACTCGATCTCAACCCCTCAAAGTTATGGTCTTGTCTCAGTCTTGATACACTCCGTTTTTGGTCATGACTCGGTTTCAGTTTAGATGGTCTTGACAACAACACTGTGCAACAGCAACATGTTTTCTCAGAGACAATATCTGAATCAACACTTTTTAACTAGCGCCATCTTCAGGTCAAAATTTAATTTATCCAAGACTTTGATTTGTGACCAAAAAACCTGCAAAACTAATCACACCAACCTCCTTTGTTCTTGGTGCTAATTAGCAAATGTTAGCATGCTAACATGCCAAACTTACATGGTAAATATGGTAAAGACTACTAACTAAACATCAGCAGGTTAGCATTGTGAGTAGGTTAGTATGTTAGCATTTAGCTCAAGCAACTCTGTACCTGCAGAAAGTACAGTATAATATAGCTGCTAGCATGGCTTCAGACTTTTATGCATAGTTTGTACTTGTGTGAAAAAGCTTGTGCACATCTTCTGCAAAAGTGGTTTGCAGAGAGTCGCAGACATGTGTTGTGTACCTCCTGAAAAGTGTGACTACGCACCAGGTACCGCAGAAATCCAAAAGTTTGATTGGACATCAAAGCCGACACACCTGTGTGAAATTACGTCTGCCGCAGTACTATATCCCTAGCGTCCATTAGAGGTGCCTGTACCAGCCCACACAGAACACACAGGTGCACAGCTGAATTATAAATTGAGAATTAATCTTGTTAAAATGTCATATTTAATGTTGTAAGCAACACAAATTCCATTCAACTCACCAAAACCTGGACAAATTAAACCAGAAAATATCACTATAGCTGGAAACCACCAGTGGAAGGTGAGAATATGTGTGTTCTTTGTAATTTGGTTGAACTGACCCTTTAATCCTCTGAACAGTAACACAGCGCCAAAATATTCACCTTCATCTTGAATCCTACACTACAGCTAGGATGGTCCGAAACTTTTACCCTAACGCAACACTGTCTCTGTGTTTATGCATCCATGTGCACATATATGTGGTGTGTTGATCTGCTTGGTTACACGTGCATGTGCGTTGGTGCAGGCTCAGAGCTTGAACACTTCTGACTGCTTTCCCCGTCTGTCTCTCTCTGTGTGGTCATGTGTGTGGGGCTGTGTCTTTGTAAATGTCTGTGGTGACGGGTGTCTTATCTGTCCATTATCTGTGTGTGTGTGTGTGTGTGTGTGTGTGTGTGTGTGTGTCTCTGCGGTGTGTCGTTCCTGCCCTGTCCTCTCCTGCCTATGCCTTGTGCTATCTCCAGGCAGCACTTTATCCGCCCAGAGCGTCCCCACCATGTACCCCGGCCAGCTGGCTCTGTTAGCCCCAGGAGGATTAGCCGATTCGGGCAGCAGCACTCTGCTCCAGCCACTCAAACCCTCTCCCTCCAGCAACAATCTGTGCTCGGCCTACACCAGCGAGGCGGCGCTCTCTGTGCCCAGCCTGTGTGCTCCCACCCCAGGTAGGCACGCGACTGTGAAGCCCAGGCCTGTAGCGGGCCTCATGAAGCTTCCTCACAACATCAGAAATACTCTGCACACACAAATGCATGCAGTTTGTTTGTCTTCACTCCCTCACAGAAAGACACGTCTCACATCTTCTCTGCCTCTCTCTACCTGTCTCTCTTTCTGTGTAAAGCAGTGTGATGGCTAACTGACTGTTACATTCTTCCTTTGTACTTCTTCACCTGCGTCTCTCTCCTTCCCTCTCTTCTATACCTGTTCTTCTCTCCTTTCATTTCCTCTCCCTTTATCTTCTTCATCTCTCTTCTCCACACTCTGCCTTTCTGGTTCTTCGTCTCTTCTCTCCTCCTCTTCCTCCTTCCCTCCTCCCCTTTCTTCAGGCTGTGTAAAGTTCAGCTGGGGTTCGGAGCGTTTGGCCTTCAAGCCTGGCGGCAGGAGGACGCGCTTTCTGAGTACGCCCTGCTTGGCTCTTTGTGTGTAACGCTTTATTTCTTTGCTCTTCTCTTTTGACCCGTCTCCTGTACTTACTTTGGTTCTAATTTTTTTTTTTTTTTTTTTTTTTATTTTACTCTTGTATCTGTCAAGTCACGGTCATCCTGTCTTCCTGAAGGTTTTCTCTTTTGATGGAGGAAGACCCTCTCTGCTTGTGGTGTCACCAGTGTCCTGCAGAACACCGGTGTCTCCAAAAAAGTCAGCTTTTCAAGCAGTAGTAGAAAACACTGATTTACCCAGGCTTACACTTGGGCACCTGATGGATTTTTATCACTGCTAAGTGCTCAAATTTTATGACCAAACTAGATTTCTGGCTTAAATCAGGGGCTTTGAGCTAGGTTTGCTGCCTTGCACAGCTAAAATTAGCAATCAGCTGCTTGTTATTTTAACATTTATTACTTAACTACCCTACAAACATTCCCATTGTGTATGTTGGAAAACAGTGTTTGATAAGAAAGGGAAATAGAGATAAGACCTTTCTGCAGGACACACAAAGTAGCACAAAAACAAATATAGTCTTTCTTAAGTAGTTGAGCTTGGCATAGTCATCTTCACTTACTTTTTTAATCTTCTTCTTCATCTTTCTTTTTCTCAGTATTTTCTCTCTCTCTCTTTCTTTCTTTTCTTTAACGAAGTCGTCCCTGACAAACAAGCCATTCACATTCAGTTTGGATTCAGTGCCTGCCTTGTGCACTTTGGGCTGTGGGGAAAAACAGCATCATCAAAAATAAAATAATAGCATCATAATTGAGAGAAAGGACCCAGCAAAGTGTTTACTGTGTGAAGTAACATTTTAAAAGGCTGTCAACAAATTGCACCGCCATATTCATTATAACATGTTATCTTTTTAGTGGCTATGTGGAGCGTAGCAGCCAAAAGACAAAAACTGTGATGTTCTATGACATAAAACTTTTATATTTCAGTGAAAGTAGTGACAGGAAACTCAGGTTTCACCAATGTCTTTAAAGGAGACTGTCCTCCAAAATATGACCAGGGGTGTCGTTTATAAATTAGTGCATAGGATCCATACTAAAAATATAGGTTTGCCAGTGGTGTAGTGGAGGGTATACTCAGGTATACAGGGTATACCCACTTCGTTGTCTATCCAGTGACAATATACCCACCTATCAGCAAAACAGCCATTGTAATGTATAGGAGAGTATGCCCATTTCCTCATCGGTAACCTACCTATCTACCTAATAGTACACCCACCTCTTCAACTATCACTACACCACTGACGTTAGCACAAAAGCAAAAACTGGCATGCGCCAAAAAGTATTCAACAGGTTCTACTATCAGGCTTCTACCTCACCATCTGTGTCGCCAATTTGCTGTCTCCAAAGTGTTCATAAGCATGGGTCAAAGTTTCTACCATCAAGTCTGTTTTTCTAGATCACAACTTGGCCGTTAGAAGTGGTGTACGCCTCTTTAAGGCCTCATTTTGTGCATACGCGATGTTTATAATCGAGACCACGGGACATTTGTACAAGCAGCTTATGCGACCCAAGTTTATTGTTCGGCAGCGACCTCTGATGGCTGCTAAACTTAGTAATAATCAAATTTATTTTGAGCGCCACCATGATCTTTTTCAAAACCTAACCATATAGTTATGGTGCATAAACTACGTGTTTAAAACTGCGATGACCAAATACAAGCTATTCTGTCGTCTACGGGTAGGGGAGTTAATATAGGAAACATTCCTGTAGTTTATATGAGAGGGGAGGAACATATGATTTATGCAGCTGTATGGGTTGGAGGTTCTGTTGGTTTAAAGTTATCATCTTTATAGTTTCAGTCCTGGTTGATTTGGCAGCACCTGGTGATATTGCTAAGAGTTCAGTTTAACAAGAAGAGGTAAAGGCCCCAACCACACAGAGAGCATTTTGCAGGCTGCAGACTGCATTGCCTTTTTATTTTAATTGAATGCCACAAGTGAAAAAAAAACCCTTGCTGCACCTTTTTATTGTTACCAGGCAACCACCCCATCATGTCCTTACATTAACCTTCACGTGGAATCAATCTACCTTTTCTTTTTCACCGTAATTAGTATCTAGTCGCTAAAATGTTCAGGTAGAGAATACTTGCTCAGCTCAGGCTGTCAGCAAATAGTTTTGGTCACAGGGAAACAGAGATCTGTGTGGGTACATGAGACCCTAATAAAGAGTGTGGGTCACGGGGAGCACCACCAGTTGGTCCAGGAGCTTCCCCTCAATGATGTCCGTTTCCAGGCATATTTTAGGATGACTCAGGGGCAGTTTGACAACCTGCTGTCTATCATCGGGCCGTAAAGCTCTGGGCCACCACCAATTTCTCCTCCATTGTTCACCAACTGTTAACTTGTTGTTGTGACGACTATAGAAGGCTGCCTCTCAAATCATCCGATTGGACAATGGGGAAAAAAAGATGATGATAAAAGTGATGAGGCGGGGCACTTCTCCGCTCTGAGTTGAAGTTTTTTCAACTCGAGGAGTTCAGAGCACTCGGGCGAAAGTGCCAGGCAATTAGAGCACAGAAAGTGAGGCGCGTCGCAACATAAAAACAATCACATGAAGCCACCTCCAACTGCTAAAATGCTTTCTGTTTGATCAGGGCCTAAGTCCCAAAATTCTCAGGGCAGCTAACAGTCTTTGAGCAGCAACTTTGTCAGAAATACAACAGAAGAGCAACAGGTGTATCTGGTTACAGTGCAGCCAAACAAACTCATATTCTGATCAAGAAGAATTAGTGCAGCAACTAGAAATGATCGCATGCATGCAGGTTAGGTTCCTGGAAAAAACTGAAATGCACATGGATTTTGCCTGTAGCCTCACTGTGCGATAGATTTACATAGATATTAGCCATTTTGCTAACGCTCCTTGATAATCTGTTAACACTCAAATAAGCTTTAACCTCATGACAATCAGCGATACAGCCATACATTTCATCTCCTGTGCTTCTAAGTTAGAGATAGATGATATAGTTTGTTTGTGTGCCAGTCATTTTAAATCCCGAGTGCTTCCATTTCTAACCTTCACCTCTGTTAGAACAAGCAGACTAACAGGGAAAGGCAAGTTGAGACCTGATGACTTGAGATTTCTGCCGTACAGTTTTATTTTTTAAAGGAGATTTATGATTTGTTTTGGTTAAACTTGATTAATTGCAACGACTCATTTGTTGAAGCACAGTTGTGTTCGAATACTGTGCGTCAGTCTTTCTGTATTTGTTTTTGTTTGTTTCAAGGTTAAGAACTTGTTTTTCTTAAGTCATATTATAATCATAATATGTAGTGTCGGTGAAATGTTTTGTACTTGATGAAGATGATTGCTTCTGAACCCTCTGCAGCTCAAACCTTTTCTCTCCCTTCCTTACTCCCTTCCCTCACTCCCTTTCCTCACCCCCTTTCTCCCTCACCCGTTCCCCTGTTGCTGCACAGCCGGGGGGGGAGACAGACCTGGGTCTTTTGGATCAGAACTTGTTCTTGTTTGTGAACAGGTAGCTCAGGAAGACAAGTAATGTAACATTGGCATTAAATTAATTTATTTATTCATTTAAATGACCTTGAAAATAAGACTCCACTGACCAAATCATGAGATGTGTGCAGCAAGTCAGAGGTTCTTTGATACACATGAATCCTGAAGTGGACCCAGTTCTGGTACGGCCCTGTGAGCTGTAGAGAGGACTCAGAAACACATCAGAATCAGGGGTTGGTTACCCAGAAGCATCTTCAAACCACAACACAAACAGAAGCGGTGTGCAAAAACTCAGTTTAGTTTACTGGTAAACACAAGTGTTATCTTGAAGAGCTTTGGTTACCAAACATTTATATTCCAGTATTAAGTGGGCTGTTGCCCCTACAGTATCTGTCAACAAAGTGTGCTTGAGTTTGGTGTCTGCACTTCCTCAGGAGTCTGCCTGCTTATCTTGGCCATGTCAAATGAAAAGTTGCTTTATTCAGTTGTTCATGTGGATAATATGGAAGTTCATTTTAACCAGTGTGAAGGAGAAAAAAAATCCTGTAAGTCATAATAATGAGAAAATGTCTCAAAATAATGAGTTAGTATGGGGAAATAATGAGAAACATTGTAAAAAATAATGCTTTAATATCTCATGATAATGAGTCAACATCTTAAGATAATGAGAAACTTTATGAAAAAATGTAATTGGTATCTCAAAAACATGAGTTAATATCTAAATGAAATAATACATCTAAATCAGTTATTATCTCCAAAATAATGATAAATTTTCTCAAAAATTAGTTAATATCTTAAAATAATAAGAAATTATATTGATGAACTTAATCAAAAGTTTCAGTATCGTTATTCATATTAGATTTCTCATTATTCTGAGATACTAACTCCTTATTTTTGAGATAAGTCATTTTCAAAAAGTTTACATTATTTTTAGATATTAACTCATTATTTTAAGATAAATAGTTATTTTAAGTAAGTTTCTCTTTTTGAGATATGAACTCATTATTTTCAGAAAGTTTCTCATTATTTTAAGATATTAACTCTTTTTTTTAGATTAATATTTACTTTAAGTAAGTTTCTCTTTTTTGAGATATTAATTCATTATTTTTGAGAAAGATTCTCATCATTTTAAGATACTAACTCAGTTTAAAATAATGAGTCAGTTAGGAAAAGTTATACTTTTAAGGAAGTTTCTTAATAATTTGAGATACTAATTTATTTTTTTTAAATATTTAATCATTTTGGGAACAGTTATTTTCAGAAATGTTCTCATTATTTTTAAGATACTTATTATTTTCAGAAAGTTTGTCATTATTTTGACTACTTGCTCATTATTTTAAGATAGATATTTAAGGATTTTTTTTAGATATTAACTCATTATTTTAAATCATTTTTTAAGACAGTTTCTTATTTTGAGACAGTAACTCACTATTTTTGGAAGGTTTCTCATTATTTTAAGAAATTAACTCATTATTTTTTAGATAAATATTTATTTTAAGTAAGTTTCTCTTTTTTGAGATATTAAGTCATTCTTTTTTAGACAGATTCTCATCATTTGAGATACCAACTTATTTAATTAAATACTGAGTCATTTAATAAAAATTTATTCTCAGAACGTTTCTCAACATTTTTAGACACTAACTCATTATGTTTAAGATAAGTCATTTCCAGAAATTTCATTATTTTGAGATACTTACTCATTATTTGGAGAAGTTTTTCATTACATTGACTTTCAGGATCTCTTGTTTTTTTTTCATCACAGTGCTGGATATGAGCTTCAATAGTATCAAGATGGCCGTCTTGTGACTTGACATCTGTGGTCAGCCTCTCTCACAGTGCAGAACACACACCACACACACTTCATGCCTTTAAGTCATGCATTTAAAAACTGCACATAAACACTTAATATCTCCCTCTAGGACTTTAATCATGGTGCACTGTGTATAAAGATGTTTTTGGGCAACTCAACCCCAAAGTGTTGTTTATCGACTGCTGGAGGTTCAATAATCATACAGGGATGCACTGTGTTTGGTTGTCGGGTGTTGTGGGCGTGGGTTTAACTCTGACTCTCTTCCAATCCTCCGATCGTTGTCTTCCGGCCGCGCAGGGAAGATGGTGAAAAAAGTCTGCCCCTGCAACCAGCTCTGTAGTAACTATCTCTCTTTTTGGTCTTTCCTCCCTCCATCCGTCCCCTCCTCCACCCTTGCACTCGCTCTCCTACGCTTCCTCCCGCTGATTTCAACTTTGATCCCCTGCCAGATCTGAGATCAGTTCGATTCAGTTATTTCAGCTAAGATGACTCACAGAAACATTTTCAATTCTGATATTTTGATAATGAAGGATCAGAGAATCCTCAGTTTGTTGAAATGACTGAAATCGCTGATTCAATCTGACAGTGCATGCACCTACAAGCTCACACACGCACACACACACACACACACACACACACACACACACACGTTCAAACACACACTAATACACTTGAACAGCTGTTCGCCACTCTGCCCTCTCCTCTCCTCCCTCGTCATGGCTTGTGGCCTGGACTACATTGCCCAGAATTCCATGCTGCTGCAGTCAGTCATGACTCAGCGTCTCCTCATTCTTATTTTTCCTCCATTTTATTTAGCATGACATGCCAGTTTGTGTCAGACCAACTGTGATCAGTGCTGCCTAATCTCTGCATATTATGTTTTTTCTTGTGTCATATCTGAAATGAAGTTCAACTGTAGTCTGGTTTTAAGGTATAGTAAAGGAGTGATGATAGAGAAGCACAATGTGAGGGAATTTTTATTTATTAAAGATTATTGTGCAGTATTTATGACAGTAAAATAACAGAAAACTTATTAATTTGCTGTAATTTTTCACTGGCTTGAATGATATATGAAAAATATATTTGTAAAAAATACACATGCATATTGTCAGGGCTGTGTCTGCAATGTTGGGGATCCAGATTTGATATAAGTGTGACTGTCACTTGTTCAATTCTGTGACGAAATCTAGAACATGCTATGATGACAGTGCTGGTATCATATCATTGTTTGATTAATCTTAACTTGAGCAGCGGCTACATGCTCAGATAGTGTGTGTGCTTTTTTTGCTCTGCAGTGAATTTGCTCTGATGAGTTTGATGCTCAGGGTTGGCAAAAGAAACAGACTACCAGCTGTTACAGAGCTTGAGTGCCATCTAATGGTCAGACAGTAGATTGAAACATGAGATCAAGTGGTGCACAGGGAAACTGTGATCAGCAGCAGGCCTGGCTCAGCATTGCTTCTGTTGTGTTGGAGCATCTTGTGGCTGGACGCTGCTGGGCATGTCAGCTTTACAGGTTGCTCAGTTTATCATTAACTTACAGCGATGGGACTCTTTAGAGAATGCAATATTAAAGGGTAACTTCTGTGTATGTCAATCTTGACCCTAGTTTCTCATGTTTTGTGTCCGAGTGACTAATGGAGACAACAATTATTGAAATTGGTCCAGTATCGAGAGAGAACAGGCTGCAATGTATCAACTTAGGGCAATAATGCACCGTCAGTCTAATCAGGGTGTCTACAGGTCCTTAAAAAGTCTTAAATGTCTCAGTGTTACAACAATAAGGCCTTAAAAGTCATTAAATAGTCTTAAATATAAATTTGTGAAGTCTACACTACTATAAACATTTTTATCTAATTTCATTTATCCATTTTTAAATGTCTTTTTGTGAAAATGAATGAAGCCTTTCTTTGTAAAAGTTCATATTTCTAATGTTACAAATCTTTAAAAAATAAAACTATGATACTGTCAATTTACTTCATACTTGGTGGCAAAATGTAGGTTGACTTAATTCACTCTTATAACTATATTCCAACACGTTGCCTACCTCTGCACAAGACCACATATATACCAATTGCCTGCAATACTTACCTGCGATGCTTAAATAAGTATGACATGACTTGTTCAAAAATTGCTCCTGAATTTGGTTAAGGGGTGTCTAGAACTCTGAACTGTCTGGCCTGAGTTCAATGAACTTGTATTAGTTTATGCATAATGTACATTTTTTACATTTATTTATTTAATATTTATCATTTGCACTGGCATTTTTGGAACTGAGGTTTAGTTTTAACCATAATTTATTCAGAGACAATGCACCGAAATTTTGTTCTTATGTGGCCTGTTGATGGTGTGGATTTGAATGACAATGAAGTATATCTATCTATGTATCTATCTAGAGCGGGTCTTAAAAAGCATTAAATTGAACTGTCTGATACCTGTATACACGCTGCTAATGCCATTAAAAGTGCTTGTTTTTGCCACTGTTTTATTGTTTTAAGTGTCTGATAGCAATATGGAAAGGATCCCGACAGAGATAGACCTTTTTGTTGAAAAATAAGATCCTTTTTTTCACCATAAACAGCCCTGAAAACGCTATCGCCAAACCCACCAGACTCCATTTAAATAAACAGGCATTTTAGCATGTTTGAAGCCAGAGTATTTTCACATCTAACTGATTGAATTAAGGGTTTATTTCATACAAACCAGAGTTGGTGATTGTTGGAAATGTGGGGAGACAAACCAGGATGGTTTTTGTGAGGTTTTTTTTTTTCTGTCAACTTTGGATGAAGTGTGTCTTACAATTATAAAATAACTGTTTTTTTTAAATGGAGTCTGGTGGGTTTGGCGATTGAGATTTCAGGGCTGTTTCTGGTTAAACAAAAATTATCTTACTCTTTAATCAAAAACTCTTATGGTTGTAGGATCATTTCCATAATGTTGTCAGACACTTAGAATAATAATCTGAGCCTGTCAGTGGCAAAAACAAGTACTATTAGTGGGTGTAAACTGACATTGTGAACATGTCCCAAGTGGTTACATAGCATCCTGTTTCACCATTGTCTCCAGTCATTAGACACAAAAACATGGGAGAATAGGGTCCAGGTTGAAAAATACTAAAGTAACCCTTTAATATATTTTCTGAAACAGGTTAGATTTTCTTCATATTTGTCCATGTTCTGTTTTAAAATGTTGCTATAGGGTTATAGTTTCTCTCAAGTTCTTGTCTTTCATCATTATTTCCATCATTACAACTAAATAATATGACTTCGTTGACATGCTGACCTACCCTAAAACTCTATCCCAACCAGCCTCTGTCACCATGTAACAGCCCTTTTCATGGTCAAGACAGGAAGTGCATTCTCATTCATTCCCGTAACATCAAAGATCGTCTTCTGGTTTGAACAGTATCTCACGTCCTCTGCTCTCCTCCTCTCTCTGCCTCCCTCCACAGGGACTAATAGCACCAATGCAGTGAGCGGTTCAGGCGGTTTGGGTCAGAGCCAGGGGGGTTCCCAGTGTCTGCCCCCCAACATGTCAGCCCCCCACCAGAGGAAAGGAACCTTCACCGACGACCTCCATAAACTGGTGGACAACTGGGCCAGAGATGCCATGAACCTCTCACAGGTTAATGCTGTTTTATGACTCGTCTCACTGTAGCACTCGTCTCCTTCAGCAATGACTCAACAGTTTCTGTATTTATTTTACGGACCAGAAGACAGATAGAGGAAAGAGGCTAAACTCTAAATGGCAGTTTGTTAAAAGCCAAAGTGGGTGTGAGAGTAAACAAACTTCAGCCAAAACCTTCTGGCATTTGGCTGATGATGTGTTTTCTAATCCTCCATCAGGTCCTGTTTCCATTGGGCACTTTGTGTGTTTACAGTGACCAACCATCCGTAAGATATAAGATGGAATATAATTTAGTCTTCAGATGTTTTGTAGAAAATTTCAGTTTAATTTGATGGTTCCAAAGTTTCCAGAATCTGTCCAATTTATGATTGAGATCTTAAGATCATACCAAGGTCAGTTTCTCCAAAGGGACAAGAGCTGATATCTGTCTCATCCACATGCTGAGCGTAGGGACCTGCAGGGCAGACGACCAAAGCTGGATACACTTTTTAGCCAGAAGTAAGAGAATAAGGGTCCATTCAGGCCTGCCCTGTTTGGTTTGTGTATAATAGGTCAGCTAAGAAAAAATTCAGGATTTTAGACATTTCGGAAAGATTAATTTCGGAAAGATTCTCCTGCAAATCTTAGACCACTCTGTGGGGCTAAGTGTAACCCCCAGATCACGTTCCCACAGTGGCTTCAGAGGGTCAAACGCTGAGGGATCACAATACTGCAGCAGAGTATAAATCTCTGAGATTATTCTCTTGAGAGATTAGGCCGAGACCATGGTATTTTCCAGCTCCGACAGTTTTAGACAGATCGTATTCTTTCTCAACAGAGATTCTACAAAGTGATAGAGTTGGCGATACTTGAATAAGACCTCATGAGGAAGATTAAAATAAAGTCTCAATTTTTGTGTTTTATGAAGTAATGTGCATGGGAGTAAACTGAGCTATTTCTTTTTTTCCAGGGTAAGAGGAGTGCCAAACAGCTGCAGCAGGCCCCAGTACAGGGGCACAGCTATGAGGTTAGTTAAAAATACACCGCATGACATCATGGATTAACCTGTTAGGGGGACCCAAAGGCAAAAATGCAAAAATTAGCTTTTGTGCCCCTACCTATCTTGTCACCTCCAGCTTCATGTCATGTACAGTAGACAGACCATACATAGCTTGCATTATATGCAAAGAGACCCACAATCAATCCAGTGCTTGTATGCTGTCATAAAATCACTGGTTTATGTGTCGCATTTAGTTTGTGGTGACACATGTTTCAAAATAAGCTAAAATAATAAAGGTCTTGTAGATAAATTTTAACACATGGCCCTTCTACAGACAGGACTACAGTTCTCAGGAATCAAATCTGTTTTCCCTCTTTATGTTTTCATAATATACATTTTAAAAATAATTGTGTATTTATACCTTGGTCAGTCTAGTAATTACACCTTGAATAAATACTTTACCCATCCCATATGACCATTTAAATTGCAATTACTTACACCATCTTACATTGAGTTCTTGAAGAAAACGTTTTCTCACAGACTTGCACAGTGAAGAAAGAATCAAAAAATTTTAAAAATTCTTGTTGAAATGAAGCCATAGAGGTTTGCATTTAACAACAGCAAAACCATATCAAAACATCTGTTTGCAAACTCTCACACAACTCATTCAGTTTAATCCAAGTCTCTTTTATCTAGTTGTTTGCTCAGTATTTCCCAACAAGTGCATTTTTGCCAAAACCCAAGAACCCTGTTCTCTTCCAAGCGAGACTCCACTGACAAAAACAGTAATTTTACCTCGCTGAACATAGGAGTTGCTAGTCTACCACTGTGTTGATCAGTTATTTAGTTGGTGTTATGGTGTGAGTGTGGTGAATCCGAACTGACGCCTCATTTCCACACCATGTGTACGGAGATGAGGCAACCAGAGGTCCATACATTCCTATGGGAATCTCTGTGATATCCAATGTGCCTTCGAAACTCTTCCCCTTCGTAATATTTCATTCTGGAATTTGCCTCGATTACGTTAAAAAAATTGTACTTTTGCAGTGGATTTCAGAGAGACCGTATGACAGTGTGCTAGCTTTGCTAACAGGCTGCTAACTAGCTAACAGGCTGTTTCTTCAATTTAGTTGCCTGTGTTGATTGTCAAGTGAGTTTGTCTGATTAAAAAGAACTTGTTTATCTAGTTTTAACACATTGTGAATCTGAGTAATGTTATTCTGTTGAAATATAGTTATACAATATGTACAGTCAGATATTTCACAAAACATGCCACATACCTGACAGGTCCTGTTTTTTTCCCGGTAATGTTCCAAGCGCACGTTACAAACTACTGGGTGGCGAAAAAAGGACAAAATTATCATCCCCGTCACTGTAGGTGGTTTCTGACAGGTTTCTATCCATCCGTAAAGAAATGCACTTCCTTGCGTTGGACACAAGAGGCATCATCTGTATATTTATGGAGCTACAGACACCAGTCACATATGCAAGTGGAAACGAGGCGTAACCCTGTAGACCAGCAGCTCCCATGTTCAGGGAGATAAAATTACTGTTTTTGTCAGTGGAGGCTTTGAAGGTTGTGTGACAGTCCGAAAACAAATGTTTGGACATAGCTTTGCTGTTGTTAAATGCGAACCACTGTCACTTTACTTCATTAAGACCTGGCTCTGTTTTTGGATTCTTCATTTGTTGTAGAAACATGCAAGAAAATGTAACACAGGGTGAGTAATTGATATACAAATGATCATTTAGAGGGTGAAGTGTTCCTTTAAGGGACACACAAGTATCTACCACATGAAATGTAGAAATTGATTTTGACAGAAAGGTTATTAATAAATAAGCCTGTGCTAAAATAACAAGTCTAAGTGTTACCATGAATAAACGTTTGTCTTTCTTCATGTTTAATATCCACGTCTCCAGGTGATCCAGTCAGCCAGTCTGAGCAGGAAGTACTCGGCTCCTAGCCAACTGTGTCCCAGCAGCATTGGAGGTTCAGCCCACCTCCCTACAAACTCCACCACCGCTACCTCTCTGGCCGCCCGCAAGGGCTCCCTGTGCCACACCCCTGCCACCTCCACTCCACCTCAATCCCAACCTCCTCAGTTCATCCCCTACACCCCAACTGCCGCCTACAGCGCACAATGGTCTGGTCCAGCTCACGGCCTGTCGACCCCACACCAGGCCCCAGCACAGCCTGGGCCTCTACTGGTCAGCACCTCCCAGCCCCTGGGCCCCTACCCCACCACGGTTGGTGGACAGGGCCAGATTCCCGGGCAGGGGCCGCTCCAGGCTTTCCATCTGACCAACTCTCTCCAGAAGTCGGTCAGCAACCCAGGAGGACCCAACCTGAGGACCACGTAGGGCTGGGGGAGAGGGCTGGTTTGAATCACGGCCCGGCTGGACTGGACTGGACTGGACTGGTGAGGAACAACAGAGTGTTACGAGCTCGATCGGCTGGAGAGGTTGGAAGAACTGGAGGGCGAGGAGTTTGAAAGTACAGAAGCTGCCCTGTTCAAGAGGAGAAAAGAAAAGGAGGAGCGACAAAGTCAGGAATGCTATGTGGCCACATCTCCGCAGTTTGTGCGACGCATCTCGCCTTTGCATCCATCCGTGTGTGAGAAGCCGTCTCAGACACAAGTGCTGCCACACAATCTCCCTCTCTGCCGTGTTTAGACTGTGGGCTTGTGACAGCCAGCCAAATGCTCAAGGATACAGGAAGAGACTCATGAGTGCAATGTTATAAGGCCAAAGAGGTTTTGACAGGGTGCGGGACAGGTGTTAGTAACTGTTTGTGTGTGAGGTATTGTGTATGCGCACTTACGGCTCAGTCGCACTTGTTCCATTTCATGCTCTAAATTGAGTGAACAAGTCTGTACAAGGCAGGTCACACGATTACCCTCGTGAGACAACGAAGGGGAGACGGTACATCAGGATGAGGGGGATGGATGTGTTGGCCAGCTTTAACGCCTTTGTGTCCTCACAGCAGCTCTTAATAGTTTCTGTTAAAACACTTCAGCTCTCAGATTAAGGCATGCACCAATGCAGTTTTTCCAAATGTAATACAAGAAAGACATTTGGCCTTCTATAAAGAGGCAGCTGGTGGATGCAGAGAGGAGCGTGGCTGGCCATTACATTAAGGTCCTCCTCTCTGAAATCAAGCAGTAGCAGTATTTCTGCTAGCAGTTTGCGTCCCTTAAAGGAGCAGTGTGTAGGATTTATGCCATCTAGTGGTTAGGATTGCAGATTGCAACCAGCTGAAACTTCTCCAATGTGCCAAGCATGAACTCCCAGTTAGGATTTCGTCAGTGTTTATTGTGTAGGTTTTTTCAGGGAGCTGAATCATCCACAGAGGTCTCTTCATTTCCAAAACAAACAGACCAAATGATTTTAACCAGTAGAAATGCAGAATAAAGCAGTTTGACATTAAAAATCAGTGTTTATCTGAGGTTTTTGGCTGGTAACTATGATGGCCAACGCAAAATAACTTACGGCCCGATCTAGATCTCGTGTTTAGTTAGTCCGTTCATGGCTGCTGTTGAAACATGGCGGACTCCGTGGATGTCGATGTAGATATAAACCGCTCATTCAAAGGAGCCAATATATCCCTCTAAATCCTACACACTGGCCCTTTAAATGTATGATCCAAAGGAAGGACGCAGATAGCAGCAGGTTAAAGCTTTGATATCAGGTGAGAGCTGAATGGACAGATGCTTCGAGCAGAATCCTAAGTTCAGAAAGTGTTTTATCTTCAGTATTTAGAATTAGGAAATGTTTCCTCAACCATTCAAAGCACAAAAAAAGAACAAATCAAATGCACATTGAGAATTTGAGCGCCCGGAGCCGAGCCGACCTCGAGCCCGGTTCAAGAGTAAAGTAGTAGCACTTGGTGAGGTTAGGACTCGTCAGCCTGAGAGAAATCGTGACAGATCCACCTCCGTTACCTTCCGTGTCTTGTTCCTCCCTCGTTCTGACAAAGCATTCAAACAGACGGAGAGAGATGGAGGGAAGAAAGTGGATGAAGAGCGAGAGCAGCGAGAGAGTGTTTGTGTTAGATAACAGTCATACACCTCATCTGTTTTCCCGCTCCACTGCTTACTTTAGGAACACACTGGCCGCGTGAGCCGTCGCCCGAGTACTGAAAGGGCAGGACAGATGCCTCTGCACACCAAACGCCTCTTCACCGTCACGACTCCACCTCTTCCTCCATCCCTCTCTCCGCCTCTCTGTTGCCATTTGAAGCAATAACAGCAGAAACCTTTTAGAGATAAAAAAAAAAAGCCCAAACATGAGAGAACTCAGCGTGAAAAAAGTGGCCTTGTTATCAGAATAATATCAGTCCCTGTACAGTTTGTGTTCATTTTTTAGAATGTCAGCCATGATGATTCCATTTTGTGTTTTATTTTGGTTTCGTTTTGTCGGGTTTGTTTTTGCTCACACACACACACACACACACACACACACACAATGCATGAGACATTCATATGAATACACACCTGCATACACACACACAGTCATGTAAATACACACACATTGTCGGAGGCGTAGCAGCCGTTCAACAGACAGATTCACAGACTAATGCCTCAGTTGTCAGTGTCATCATTAGGTTGGGTTTCAGCATTCGTGTTGGAATGATTGCAATGTACATTGTCGTCATAATTATTGTTGTTAATGGTTATTATTCTATTTAAAAAGAAACAAAAACAAAAACGTGTTCTGTCGATGGACCTGTTATACGCGCACATCAGTGTACGATGTGGAAACACTGTGATTATTGTTGTTTATTATTAGCAAATGTTGTTGGACAACATTAGTTTTAGGGTGAAATGTCACAAATTTAAAACAAGGAAAAAACAGAATCATACAGAGAACGGGTCGGGTCCTTTCACTTTCAATTCACTGCTCTCAGCAAATGCATTCTCATCAAAATGTGAAAATTGAGAACACCTCTCTTCAATAATGGTCCTCACATCCAGATACAGAGGACACGATTTTAAACAAATGCCTTACAGACAACTAATCAACCGCAGTTCCTTTTTTTTAACTGATTGAATTGAAAGTCGAAACTGACCTCCAGGCCCAATTACAAAGACAAACCGGAGTGAACGGCAGGATAGTTGATATTTAGATAATAAAGTAATGCTAGCTATTTTTTTTTCTTAATACAGTACTTATATATCAGACACTTTAAATAGCCCTCCTCTTCCCTTTCTCCCCTGGTTTTGTTAGATGAATGTGAATGTATAAACCAATGGTGTCCATTTTAATGTACTTGAAAAAAAATGTCTCTTTTATTTTTGCTTTCTTTTGCTTCCCCTGATCCCCCTCTAGAGCCTCCGGTGAATGCCGGAGGTAGTTATAGTGCCTTGCATCCTTCCTGTTGCTTGTTTCATCGGTGGTTGAGGACTTTGGTTAAAGTCATTATGCGTGACAGCATGTGGGTGGAGTTTTGAGGGGTGTCACTTTGAAGTTGGTGGTTATAATTGGACGACCTGGTGTTAGTTGAGCAGGTGTGCAGTAGATTGGTGGAGATGCAGTAATTATGGCTGTTGTTAGCTGCCACTGTGTGCGCTGTAGCTGGTTTGTGTTTGATTCTATTTGATTTCAACTAAGAGTGTGTTTTCCCCATAAAGAAAGAATCTTTCTCCATGTTGGATTTAAAATAGATAAATGAAAATCATTTCTATTGAAGGATAACATTGGTATTTTTCAACCTGGACCCTTTTTTCCTGTGTTTTTGTGTCCAAGTGACTCATGGGAACATTAAAGGTGTTTGTTTTTGCCACTGACAGGCTCAGATTGTTATCGTTAGAGTCTGACAACATTATGGAAAGGATCCCTACAGAGAAAGATCTTTTTGTTTAAGAGTAAGATCCATTTTCTTTAAACTAGAATCAGCCCTGAAATCGCCATCACCAATTCCACCAGACTCCATTTAAATAGGCATTCATTTTAGTGTGTATAGAGTCAGCATATTTTCACATCTATTTGGGTGAATTAAGGGTTTATTTCGATCAAACCAGAGTTAGTGATTGTTGGAACATTGGGATGACGAACCAGGATGGCTTTTGTGAGTTATATTTTTTTTCTGTCAACTTTGAATGAAGTGTGTTTTATGATGATAAAATAACTGTTTTTTAAATGGAGTCTGGTGGGTTTGGTGGTTGTGATTTCAGGCCTGTTTCTGGTTCAACAAAACCATGTCAGACACTTAGAGTAACAATCTGAGTCTGTCAGTGACAAAACAAGCACCTTTAGTGAACGTAAATTGACAGAGCGGAAATGCCCCTAGTGGTTACATTGCAGCCTGTTTTGCTGCTGCTGGCTGCGATGCTATCACTCAGCACTGCACCACTTTCAACAAATTGTTGTTCCCATTAGTCACTTAGACACAAAAATACAGGGAAATATGGTCCAGGTTGAAAAACACTGAAGTCACTCTTTGACCGTATCACTTAGCTCTCTGAATTGATAGAAAGACGAATTGACCTCAACTCTGGTGCCATTTAAACCAATGAGACTGACCATTTACAACCGACAAAGGCCACCATTTGAAGTCAGTGTTGTTTCTGTGAAATGAGGCTTTACCTCCACATGAGGTCTGGCTGTGTTACACCACCAATGTGATGAAATTTGGGGAGAACAGGAGAGTTTATCAGTGCCATTTTTTCAGGGTTTTAAATGTAGATATTTGGGGGGAAGGGGCCGGAATATTCTTTTCTTAAGTTTTAAGGAGGGAGTTGATTGTATTTGAAGCTTGGACCACTCTGTATTTAAGAGGCACTGGCCCTGGTGCAGCATAGAGTCAGCAGAGGACGCATTGGTACAGTGAACTAAAGTTACTTTCTTTTAATGTTGATGTATTTCTAATGTAGCATAGATTTTCGTTACCAAAACATCAGTCTAATCCTTTTTTTGACCTGCATGTAAAATAGCTGAAATCAAAGGACTGGTAGTGAAGGTAGAGGTCGTGGTGTTTTGCCCTTCTATCAGTTGAAGTGGGTGCTGCTCTGCTCTAAAGGTCCAGTTGGCTTGTAAAACAGTGTGAGTGGCTCATGATGATGTCGTGGCGTCTGGATTATTAAACGATAAATGAACAATCAGATTTGACTGTAACCAAATAAGCCACCAACTGTCCAACTGAGCTCCACCTGTATCAAACAATCACAGCATTTACATGCACCAAATATTCCGTTTTTTGCCCTTATTCCGAAAAAGGCAGTATTTCTGTTAAGCTGTTTACATGTCGAATGAAAAAGCCGTGCATACTCACATTAATGTGCTCTCACATGTCGTTTATCTCATCTAAAACTGGAAAAGTGAAACGGCACTAGCTGCATCAAAATAGGATTTACTTCAAATACTTTCCCATCAGTGACGGACTTGTTCGACGAACACAGCCTCCCTTTTTCATTCCTTCAACCGCATTCTTGAAAAGGTTGGCGTATTCGCGAACATCCAAAAAACCTGTTGATACCCAAGCCTTTCATAATGTTTAAAAGTTTCTTCCGATCAGAGACATGGGCTTGTTTTTTGTGCTTGCATTGCTACACCAGCCTTGCAGCTGTGAGATGGCTTGTGTGAAACGTATTCTTGACAACACACAGGGCCGATCAAAAACAGGCAAGAGGCTGTGTGTTGCAAACTGCAGTGCAGCTGAGACACATGTTTCAAATGTGCGGTATACAGGCCCAAAGAATGCTCCTAAAACCCAAATAATAGTGGCGTATCCCACATCTTAATTATTGGGAATATCCAAACAGAATATGCTTTTTACATGAACTGAATCAAATTCAGAAAACTGTCATAATCTGAATAAAAGTGGAATATTAGTGTGCATGTAAGTGTCGTCACTGAGAGCAGAGCAGAGAATCAAAGATGTAAAATAATAACTATAATAACTGCCCAAACCTTTGTATGAAATTGTGTTTTCACGTAGAAACCCATCACTCATAGTAGAAGCTAACTGACGAAATATGTTTCAAGGCCATCTTGCTCCTGTAGTGTAACCCATCGTTATCCAACTGTTGGCTTCCTTACTTTTTTAGAACCAAAAAGCATTTACGAGGCCAGCAGCACTGTGCTGTCTTTTTAACAGATTCCTCATCTGAGAATTGCTGCTATTGGGCAAAAAAAAGTCTGCAAAAAGGTATGAATATCACCCACTCCTGTTGTCACTGTACGTTTCTGAAGCTGCACCATGCAAACCAGAACTGTAAGTGTTAGAGTGGATGTATACATCAGGGCATCACAGTGCTGGGGGTGGTGTTGGCGGTGGGTAGAATGAGCACAGTGGTGGTTACGGTGATTGTATTGGTAGTGATGGAAGTGATAGTGAAGATGGCGGTTTTCGATTCAAGGCCTTTGACACCCTGTCCTCTTTTTTCTCTTTTCATTTGTCTGTGCAAATGAAACATATCTGGTACAAACTTTGACATTCAATTAAAACTGCTTTTTTTTGTCGTTTTTTGGGTGTTCTGGATGAAACGGTTACTTTGTAGAGTTTGTACAAACAAAACACATCGCTTTTGCTTGTTTTATTGTGGGATTTTTCTTCCATTTCTCATGAATAATAATGCAACATTTTTACTACTAGGCAAGTTTGGTTGAAGCTGTGAATAATCGTTGAGCCACTTTGCTTTTTAGTTCTGATCTGTTAGAAGAAGTCAAACCTTTAATGATGTCACCGACTCAGTGCCATTTGACTTGTAGTCAGTGGAGTGGAAACATCAGAGGTAAATAAATTCAGTGTATTTTTACTGCTTTTACTCACTGGAGCTGTTTTGGTTGCCAGGTTACATCCTGGATTTTCACTTTGCAACTGCTCGAGCGTCAAATGATTTCCACAGTAGCAGTTTGTTTTGCAGTGTCTCGCAATTACTACGAAAGGAATGGCTACTGTGCAGCGGCTACAATGCAATATTATTTAAAGTTACAGTGTGCTATCAAGCTCTGAGGTTACAGTTGGGTTTGACCGTTACGCCCCCTGCTGGAGGACTGGGTGCAATTATCGTGAAGTTCTTTTAGAATTGTGGTGGAGGACTCTTACTGTGAAAGGCTCCAGAGTTATCCAGTGCGGACACTCTTATTGTGAAGTTTCCTGAAGTTAAAGTGGGAAAGTAGGATTCTTTGTTTTTTCGGGTGACACACACATAGTGTAGCAATAGTTGTTTCGGACTCACTCGCATTAGATTCAGTTTTCAGCCTGATCAGGACTCGCTAACCTTTACGCTTTTTACTGTAGAAGTGCCCACGTGTAAAAAATGCCTTTCAGTGCACCAACACATCCACACACACTCACACTCACACACACACACACACACACATACAGATTGACTCAGTGCATCTCCTTGCTGTTTCATGTAGCTTGCTCCTGTGGAATGATGTCGAGTCTCACAGCAACAGTTCTCTCCAGCTGTTACTGGAAACCTTTCTCTCAACACGTTGATCATGTTTCTGGTTTTCTCTGATGCTCTCATGTTTCATTTTTTATTTCTCACTTGTTTTTATCAGCAGTTGTAATGTCTCTAGCGGCACCTAACTTAATTCAGTGGTTTCATTTTTCTGTATCGTGTTTGACATTGTACAAAGGTTGGATAAAAAAAAAACATGGATGAATGAATGAAAGGAAAACAAACAAAAAAAATACATGTAGGGAGTCATCGGCAGCCTTTAACGGTATGTTTTGCACTAAGTATAGAGTGTTCAAGCTTCATATTAAAAAAATTTGCGCTTTGCGCTACAATACAATGAAATTTGTTACTTTATTTGTAAAAACTTAATAAATAAAAGTTGTTTAAATGAATTGCAGTGACGTGTTTAAATTCAGATGAATGTATAAATGAAATTAAATCTGGCTGTTGTTTATTTTTTAACATTCAATATATTTTCTTTTTAACAGGACACTGGGTCACGGTGAACCAGGACAGAATCACAGACAGGTACTAAATAACACGGACAAACAGTCAAAGCTCAGGGTTCCTATGCAGTATTGAGAAGTATGGATTTTAATTATAGTATAAAAAGTATTTGTGTTTCCAGACTATTTCCCTTACTCTGTTTTATAGAATATAAAATTCTGAATTTGAATCTGGAAAAGAAGGAAAGTTTGAAATGCAAATTGAGTAGGAATCCTGAAAGCTGTAGCACTCATGGTTCCCACGGGTCCTTGAAATCCTTGAAAGTTTCTGAAAATAGACATTGTCATAAACTGGCTCAGTGAATGTGACAAGTAGGGAGTCCACACAAAAGATTTAGTTAAAACAAGCATAACTAAGATTAACTTATATAACCAATGGAATGTGTCAGTCAGCAAAGTCAGTAATGAAAGCCATGCATGGATGTGTGTCAGGTGTGCTGTGGAGGTGTTGAAGGTGCAAACCAAAAAGCAATGATGTAGGGTTTACGTCTGCTGCAGGAGGGGAGAGATCAAGTGAAAACATGAGACAGCTTTTATAGCCTTCAAGGCCCAGGTGAGCTCAATCAAGGCAACAACAGTGGCAGGGGTGTCACAACATAATTAGACATGGGTCATTGAAAGTGCTTGACTTTTTATTTTTTGTGCAATAACAAACTGAAGAAGAAGAACGTTCGTAAATAGGCTACGTTCTACTGTCTGCAGTTAGGTCATTGTTTCTTGCGCCACCTGCATCAAGAAAGTGCAATGGTCATGTGCATGCAGGAGCGTTTGAAGTACTGTGTTGGATCCTTGAAATTGAGGGAATTGGGCCTGGAAAGTCCTTGACTCGTCTTTGAATTTGATGTTTAAGAAGGTGTGGGAACCCTGGTTAATGATAAAGTTTCATTATCTTGTTTGTAAGTTACTCAATGCATTTTTGAAATGTGTTTTGAGACTTTTCATGGGAACCATTCAGCGGTCTCACCCAGTAAAAACCAATGAAGTTTAGCTTTATATTATTCAAAGCCAGTACAATATGATTGAAATGTCAAGAATTTGTATTTTTATTTATTTATTTAACCCGTATTTAACCAGGAAGTCCCATTGAGATACAAAATCTCTCTTACAAGAGAGGTCAGCCAATCAAAACACATGAAAATGCAACATATCCAACATATAATATAGAAATCCACAGTAAAACAATAGCTGTTCGAATATAGTGGCCTCTCAAGACAAACAAGCACAAGTCTCTGTCACCACATTCCTTATGATGCCCTTAAATTCATCAGTGGATATAGGGGGTTTCTACTTTTAGATCTTCTTGAAGATTGTTCCATGTCCAAGGTGCAGAGTAGGAAAATGCAGTTTTCCTCACATCTGTTAAAACCTGGGGTGCTATATAATGGAATAATATCTAATGTATCAGCAATTTTTAATAAGAAAGTATTATATTCAATGGGACAAATCGGTTTTGGTCTGAAATTATTGGCAATATTACCTTTATCACTGATTTGTATTTCAACAAGGCATTTCAAAGTGCTTTGCGTCAGTCATAACATAGCATTAAAACATGATATGCAAGAACCACACGGCAACATCGGGGGGCTTTCCTTTAAATTAATTTTGTCAGCATTTTTTTTTAGACCAGGGGCCGTATCCACAAACACTCTGAGAACACTCTCATGGAGCTCCTAACTTAGCCTAAAAACTTTAAGTAATGAGTCCTAGCTTAGGAGTGATTTAGGAAAGTTCTCAGAGCAACTCTGAACAAGGAGAGGACAGAAATGTTCATCATACCTACCCCATTGGTAGGTATTCTTAGATTTTAGTCACTAGGAACAACTCTTTGTGCTAGGAAGCTTAATGACTACGGCCCCTAACACGGCCATTAGTATCAGAATGACTAACCCTTACCCCAAATGTTAGATACCACCCCATCACATCCAAATGAGACTGGTTTGTTCTAGCTTCCTTTTGGTTGCAGTACCTGAGTTCTCCACATGGCCGCAGCACTTCTCTTTACTAACTGTCCAACCTGCAGGACCTACTGTATACACTGGCCTCCCTCCTGTTGTCCAGACCATATTAAACAGCTTCTTGCTCCGGGGCCAATCAGAAAACAGCTCGTTGTGAGGTGTGAATCTGTGCCTATTATCCGTCACCATGGAGACAATGAGAATAACACGGTAAGCCCAGAGAAAAAGAGGCCTGAGGAAGGAAGGGAGGAAGGAAAATGAGACTTACCGGTACATTAAAACAATAAATTTCCATCATGCAGTTTTCCTGCTGCGATACGAATACTGCACTGCAAAAAGTTGCACTCTCTGGGATTCAGGATTTTAATTTGCATTAAGCCTTGTCAGACTTGGTGGAGGATCTTTTGTCTGCACGGTATTTATTTTTCGCAGTGTAGGGCTTGGTTCTCAGCCTACTGTTAGCCACAGCCAAGTGCAGGGCTAACAGGTGAACTCACACAAGATGCAGTTCAGTCTACAGTGACTGCTGCTCTGCTCATGCTTTTTAATGATTATAAATGCTTCTCTGTTCTGTTAGACTCATTGAGGATTAGTGAGGATGGGGATAAAATGTGACAACCATGAGGTGAAACCAAACCCACAACCTCACACACACATAAACTGTTTACACCATAAACTACAAGGTGTCACATTTCAACACACATCTCCCACACATACAGTATAACTGACTTCTTTAAGCTGGCGTATGAGCCGGATGAACCTGTCTCAATGAGTGCAAGAGGCAGAGAGAGGAAGAAAATTCTCACCCACCACATGCCACTCTGCTACATTTTACTGTGACTACAAGGTGATGATAGTATGATGCTTTCCTGAATCATACATGGATGTTCCCGTTTTGTTTTGCTTCCCATACTGGCAGGAAACTACAAACATTTAAGGTGCTGTTTGGCAGAGCGGCTGGTGAATTTTAGGAGTTAGCCTTTACTGTGGACTGAGGACAAGAATGACCCTGCTCACACCTGAAGGTGAATAATTAGTTAATAGTGAATCCAAGCACCACTGAGCACTTAATGGGGCATTAAAGTCAAAGAAATCAGCTGGTCCTTACTATTGACTGACTTATGTAGTACTTGAAGAGATATATGATAACTGTTTTTGAAGATAGAGCTCATCCGATACACTGACCAGGATGATCCGCTATATGGACAAAAGGATTAGGCCACACCTGTTAATTACTGAATTCAGGTGTTTCAATCAGACCCATTGCCACAGGTGTATAAAATCAAGCACCTAGCTATGCAGTTGCTAATTGCAAACATTTGTGATACAAAATGAGTCGTTCTGAAGAGCTCAGTGACTTCAAGCGTGGTACTGTGATACCACCTTTTGATTTACTTAAAGATCGTGCATACAAGCGGCCAAAATGACCTCCCAGGGGTGGCTGAGCTCAGCCTTAGAGATTGGGTAAGGAGCTTGGACATCCTGGGGGAGCTTGGAGTAGAGCCGCTGCTCCTTTGTGTTCAAAAGGGGTCAGTCGTGGCAGTACAAGCATCTGATCAGGATGCCTCCTGGGCGCCTCCCATTGGAGGTGTTCTGGGCACATCCCACTGGTAGGAGGCCCCAGGGCAGACCCAGAACACGCTGGATGGATAACATAATTCATCTTGCTCATCTGGCGTGGTAACACCTTGGGTTGCTGCCCCCGAAACCTTGCCCCGTCTAGTGGAGATGGATGGATCTAATTTAACAAAAACACGATTCTCATTTTCAGGTGACTATTAACTAATGAAAACATAGTTAGAGATGTTAGATACCATTTCTGCCAATAGATGCCCCTAAAACCACACCTATTAAGAGATCCTTGTCAAAAATGATTGCCCTAGTTGTGCATCAAAAACAAACAAATAAATATATCTCAATATTATATCAGAGCTAAACATCCAGTTTTGGATGGGAGCTGTAGAAAAGTACTTCAAAGTCCAAAAGTAGATTTGAGAAAGAGTTAATCACATCTAATCACAATACAAGAGCCAATGTGGCATTCTGACCGCATCTATTTCGGTGCCAAGGTGATCTTTTGTATATAAAAAAGAGATACTCACACACACACACACACTCACACACACGCACAAACTTGACACGTAAACAGTCCACTTGCACAACATAATTGCGCATAAATACAGGAAGTGATCTCTTTCACTTCTGCACAGTCAAACACAACTCTCATCACAAGGAGGATTCACCTACATGAATATGGGAATTAAAAGTGAAAGCAGTTTTTTAAGGTAAATATGAGAGTAGATAATTAAAAAACAGGATGTAAATTAAGATAGAAAATCATTTTTGTGTGTGTGTGTGTGTGTAGAGTACGTGTTACACCCTTCTATTCATCCTGTTGTCGTGACCAATTACATTTACATCAGAGTGGCCTTTTTTTTTCTGCAGCTGCATGAAATGAAACCACTCGAGGGAGGGGAGAGAACTGGTGGTGAGAAAGGAAGACTGGGGGGGTCTTCAAATGTCATGTGTGTGGGAGAAATGCACAGACTGCAGACAGAGAACAGCCAGTTCCATGCTTTAGTTTATGTAAATGTGACAAGAATAAGATGTGAACAGCATTTCCCTGTATGAATCTATGCATGCACAGAAGATGACTGCTCCAAACTGTGATTTGGATCTTCTGTCATGTATTCATGTTATATGTGCCCTTGTAAATGTGACCAATATTAAAGTTTCCACTTGTAGGATTTTAACAACAGTAAGTCATATTACTTTAGGAGAATACTTGTAATTATCACAAGCATTGATTGATATCCTTTACTCGATTCAACAATGACATAACCCTGAGCCTTCGTGCAAAAGGAGCTGCAGATTTTGTCAGATCTGGAGCTCCTGCAGTCCAGTCTGTGATCCACTGAACAAATATTTAAT